AGAAAAAATAATTATTTAATATTTTAAGTCACTTGCCCTCACCTTTTCTTCAAGTTCCAATCTCATCTTTCAATATGAATTGGGTTAGTGCTATCAATAGAAGTAAATTTTCTTATCAAAAAATATGTTTTTAGACAAACGAAATACCAACGTACATCCCTTGCTAATTTCTCCCTAAATCAAATTAAATTATATTTTATATTTACACTACAATATTTACACCAATACCATATGAAACCATTTCAATGTACCGATATACCAACGCATTAAAATGTATTAGTTGTAAAAATCAACATAATTCAGAAATAAACGAAGAAAACATAAAAATACAAGCAAAATCGAAAGTAACACTAAAGATTAGAGAATCAAACCCAGAATTTTACAAACGTTGTGAATGTGATATACTGACCCAGCAATAATCAATTGTAAGGAAAAATGGGGCATAATAGAAAAGTACATAGCAGAATCAAGAAAAGGTTTGACGAGAAATGCAACATTTTGCAATGAGTTTTGAGTGAAAAAATACAATAAATAGCTAAAATATTAGGGATATTTTAATATAATACATTTATTGAGGAGTCGGTCAAGATTCTTCATAACAATTTAATGGGGCTCAAGAACCATTTCAATTTACTGTATGAGCAGGTTTGATTGAACTTGTTTGTGTACTATCGTTATATAACGATATTTATCGCCAAAAAAATGCCATTCCAAAACCAAAGATATATTTTGTTCCTTATTGTATAAACAAGATGGTTTTCATTGAAGTTTTATAGTAAATACTAAAGATTAAAGAATCAAACCTCAAGCTGACAACATTAAGTAAAACTAATGGCTGTATAATATGACCTAAATTTCTAAACAGCAATAGGTTTATTTCGTTCAAAATAGTATGTGAGAACTAAAACGTATGAACTTGGAGATCCATTTGTCAATGCCTAAATGTTTTTGTTTTTCAGGATATCTATTTTTGTAGGTGATAATTAAGCAGCAAAAATATTTACCAAGTCAATATACTCATCGTACTGTAATCTGATAATGCAATGCAAGTAACGTCAAATTAAGTATGCCGGTAAATAGATTCAGAAAATAACACAAACTGAATATTTGTAGATAGTAGTCAAATTGCTATAGCGTGATACATATGCAAATTATCTTACATTTGCTTAACAATGAAAATGAAAAGTGATTTGAGGGAAGAAGGGATTCTGAAAATTTAACTTTTCGCCAAGCTATAAAACTTATGGATATTTCAATACCTCCAATAAATAGTAACTAGTATGTATATTTTCCTGGAAGTAAATAAATAACACCTATTCAGGTAATTTGGAAATTTCTTTAATACAAAATGCTCGAAAGTTATCAATTTGGCGTCACTGTGACTGATCTTTTATTTTTATTCAATTTTTTTATCTATTATCTCATTATCATCCGCGTGTTTCCATAATCAGACGGTGCTAAAATCACATTTAAAATTCAAGGAAACTACATAGTATTCATCGAGCATTTCTTCAATCTGTTCATGTGAACAAAGAATGGTAAATAATGCGGAACGCGGCAGATAATACATATGTTGATCACTTGAAACAGTAGTTATCATTACACAAGGATATTTTTTATGACATGAGATATGCTTCTGCTTTCATAGGTGAGAATTTGGTAACCAGTTAAAATAGCACCTGAATAATTCAGAATAGGAAAATAACATTTTAATATGGAATTTTTTGTATATTGTCTGTACCAATTATGTTTTGTTTTCAAATCGGGCGGCGTTATTCAATTGATCATGCAGTTACGTTCTCGTTGTATCTGAAGCGTGTAAAATTAAATGGAACAAAACACCCATTTAGCCAAAATGATACTGCCACATACCTATACATATTTCTTGTTCAAGAAAAAAGTTTCTTCCTGTAGTCACTATTACTAAGATTACTCAGATATTCCTGATAGACAAGTTTTTTTCAAGATCTGTTAGTGTCTATATTATTTGCATAAAACATATAGGTATTCAAATCATTGTATTATGATTTTGTGGAACGGTTCGTTATCGAACTTTGGAATTAGACCTTCGGGAAATTATGATTTTTCTCTGGTAAATACTTTTTCTGACATAAAAATAACGTCGAAAATACACTTGTTTGTAATGATTTATGCTAACTGGGTTAAGGACGTGAATATCGACTTAATCCATGAAATTAGATGCTTGTTGAATAATAGAATTGATATCACGTTCCAATTGACTCCTCCTATACGGTAGTCTTTTCAAGATTTTTATATCCTCTATAAATCCACCTGCATCGACTTAAAATGGTTTATTAAAAACCATGATATTCATGTTGGTTGCACGCTATATTATGTACTTTCCTCTACTGACCTTTGGTTCACGCATGTTCTTGTCCATTTTTGGGCGATTTTATACTGGAAACATTAAACAGAATTTGGAAAGCGAGGCAGCTCTGGCTCCCAATATTCAGGACATTAATACATTCGTGTAACAAAGCACTAAAAAGCTTTCAATTCTTTCTCTTCTAATAGTTTAAAATTGTCTAATGATATTAAAAATTGTTATTTTATGGAGATTTTAGTACTTTTTACTGAAAATAAAAAGTACGTATGATATTTTGCCCGTTACGACCCACATGGTGTTTCTGAATGAAAACATCTTGAAAATGTAGTTTTCTTTTTTCTTGCATTATGCTTAGATATATATTTTTTTATATTGGATATGGAAATTATCCTTCTTTGTGAGCTCCTCTTTTACATAGTGTGTAACACGTTCGGGGTCTTAGCATTTGCAATTTATTTTCATCATTCATTCAATTTGCATCATCAGATTACTTTTTTAAGCACGACCCTGTATGTTTGACATCATTTTAAGTATACTACGGCTCCTAGTAATGTAAGTTAATTAATTTGATCAACAATTATGTATGGATTTCATCAACAAGTACTGAAATTTAAATAATAACAGAAACATTAAATGATAATAACATTCAATGCTCTAATTTCTTCGAAAATACCATTCTGTTTTCTGCATTACATCGAAGTATTTTTTTAACACAATTTATAAATTGTATTTTCTATCGCTCCAGACAAATGATTTTTAAACTTTTGTGCCAAAACTTCTTAGAGAAACACAAAATTTGTCATTATTTCATATGGCACAAAAATAAATATCTACCTGATTCTATAAGGCCTACTTACCAACATGTCTGTAGTATTTGTTAACAGTATTATTAATTAAAAATTATTAGCTTCCACTTCACATTACTTAATCTTACTTTCAATCTGGGCCGCTGTTACAGGGTTTTTACAATAAAATTATTTCTAAATACGATATAGCAAATAAACGATTAATGTTTGAGAAAAAACATTTTACAATGGCACAACTAGTAGCCTTTAGGTTTCATTAACCATTAGCAAACACACAGCTCCGTAATTGAATAAAAAGTTGATAATTTTCTGGTTTCCACCCCTCTAGCGTTTGAAGTAATGTAACTAACACCTTTTGCGAATGGTGTTTCTTGAGGACACTCACCTTTCGAAGTTTTCTATGCCAAATCTATATTTTGCTCGTTCTGGATTTTTTCTAGGCATATTTTGTATTAGTAATTTGTGTTAATTCTGTTTAGCATTGGTTTATTGCCTGCTTTTTTATCATATTAAGTATCTATCTCCACCAAAATGAGAAATTTAAGAATTTGTTGAGAAATGTTTAAAGCATTGTTTATTGCCCGTGCAGCATCGGCATGATGGAAGGTGTTTGAAACGTAAAATAAGATTGCGAAGCCCGAGTTCTTGTAGAAAAATTCCAGACCTCAATGAGCGAAGTTATCGAAAAGTGTTTCCAAAAACAGCACGTCGTTAGTAAAGAGAGCATCTACGAGGCATATTTTTTAACTTCGAACGTGACGGGAATGGAGAGTGGAAAGTTATTGAATTTCATTGAATTTCAGTCTGATATGAATGTTGTAGAGAATTAAAAGCTGTTGTAATAATGTCGTACATGATTTAAATTATTTTCAAATAAACAGAAAAATTAGGTTTTAGAATATTTTAGGTTTTCCTCGAAAAATACCTTGTGTCGGAATTTTTTTCATCATTAAAATCCCAGCTTTTACTTAATATACCATTTCATATATCGGACCGTTTACGACATTCCAATGCTAACACTCGAATTTCTTGCATCTTCGTATATTCGACAACCAAACAACTTTGTTTTTTACAGTTGTTTAACCGTTAGCAAGTGGAAAATTTAAAGGCTTGAATAACTCAAAAAAATCATTTTAGTGCTCTTCGAAGAGACTCAGTTGAATGTTTTCGTTCAATTATTAGCTAATTTTTCGTTGATCTCTTGCAAATAAGTTTTGGCCCCTACCCTGACCATTCCAAGTACCTCATAAAAGTTCAATGATTGCTTGCTCTTTCCTCAACATAAAAAGAACATAAAAATACGCTTATAATAAAAAAGCTTACTTGATGGCTTTAGTAACACCTTCAACCTTGACACTGAAAAAATGCACTTTTGGAATATTTCTTTGCAACAGACTTTTAAAAACATGTGAGTTTTCATCTCCCAGCATCCCATCCAGACCAATCACTCCTTGATCATGGAACGTATTTGATTTTGTGCCTACTTTCTATATAATTTTTTCTGATTAATTGATTAATAACTCATCTTTTTCTGAATTAATGTTTTATTAATATATCTGTATATGATGATATGTGTATCTGTAAGACACACGTTCCTGACTAGCCCTGATTTCAACAGTGTGTTGCAATTAAGATGGTCACTTCTCATTTCCACCAAATTCTACTTAAATCTTTAATTGATCCCAATGATGTGATATCATCTGGCTCAAGCGCTCTGCGTTGCCATTTGCCAATAGATTTCTTCAGCTCGTATTGATTAATATGGCTATTTATATATACGTTTCTAACTGATATTTATCAGAAATCGAACATTGTGGCAACACTGCCAGTAAAACAAAGGTAATATCACGCAACCTAAGCATGCACATCACTGAACAGAGAACACAGAAACAAGCTTGCGAGTGTAAACAGAAAACTTCTGTAAATAGGCGTGCAAGTTGAGTGAATACGAAATTCCAGGTTAGTGCTTCTAGGAGAGTGATTACAACAAACGTTTTTTCGTGTGAACCGCGATTCGGTTAATTTGTATCAATTTTTCAGTGATTTGTAATTAATAATAAAACAATCTTAATTATTCTTGCATGCCATATTTCCGTTTATGATGTTAACTGAGAGTGCTTTGATTAATTTTAATCATTCTTTATCTGGGTAAGCATACAACTTTTTTAAATTTTCAAGCTGATTTTTCCTGAATATATTAATTAATGTTTGATGCAAACGATGCAACTAGAAATATCTTGCAGGTTCCAACAACAATTCAACTACCATTAATTGAGCAATTATAATTTTTAAAAAATTTATGACAACTATTTATTTGGTTCTTAACTTATTTTTAACTCGATTGTTTTCTTTAACTGGCGAGGATCAGTACTACTATTTTATAAAGCCTTATCACCAACAAGCACATTGTTTTCAATTAATAATTTATGCTCATTAAACATGTATGGTTGATTAGGAATTTATAATAATATTTACAAGTTGTAGTTGTAGGTCATGAACATTATTAAGTCATCCTTTATCGAAATTGATTTATTGCTGGCTTAATTTATATAATAGAATAGTCTCGTATCACATTAATAGATTCAAAGTACCATGATTTTCTCTTAAAATAAAGAGCAATATTCGAGCACCTAACATATAAAGAACTAGTAATTTCGTTTACAATGCTCAAATAGGTACGAATTTTGTGTATACCTGATGGTTCTACCCTTAAAACGTGGTTAAAATAGTTTACATTTAAATACAACGCTTTTGAAGGCCCACTTTAAAATGCTAGTAATTTCTTTAACTCCGTTTTTAATGCTTGCTGTCCTTCTCAAATTACACTAAGTATTTTAAGTAATATTTGTTTTGTATAGTGACCTGATACTAACAGTCGCCAAATCTCAACCGTTTTCTAAAAATAACGAAATTATAATGCCTAATCTTGCAAACTCGTTTCTCAATTTGTCGTTTAGTTTTCTTGATTTCCACTCGCAAATTTTACCCAACTTTTTGCAACGTCTTTGTTAGGTCATTTTCCATTCATTTTTTAGACTTGATTACTTATTATTTATAAACGTATTTCTACTTTGTAACTTTGTATTTAGCTTTAAAAATCAGCAATTGGCAAACTAATTAAAAAAATTTCCGCTAACGACTGGCCGACGACTTATTTTAATGGTTCGTTTTATGAGCTGTTGGAAGGAAAATTCCATGTCTAGTATGAAGCATTTGAAGGTCTGTAATCTTTTGCAACTTGCATAACTCCACATTCTCGTCAATTCTTTGTAAACCACGACCTGCTGTACTTAATCTCCATTTGCTCTTTTCCGGTTGACTCATTTTGGACCATTAGAAATCAATTTGGTTAGTTGCACGTTTTTTTCTCAGGACTAGTGCACTTTTTCTGCCCATTAGTTTTGAGATTGATTCTCTTATTTCCTGGACAATTGCGAGGTTGTCAGTTTAATTATACGTATTTATTCATTAATATTTTCCCTGTTTACTAGTACTAGTTTCTAGTTAAAATAATTAATTTCCTTAAGCGAGTGTTTGTTGGTAGTAGGTATTTGTCGCTCTCATTGCTTGTTTACCCTTTATCAATCTGAATCTACGCGCTTGTGATTTTGGACGGTGGCCTCCAAACGTACTTACTCATTTAAAACGGAAACAGTTTTCTTTATGGACTTTTCACCTTATCGTCTTACTTATCCACGTTTATATTCGCAATTGGATTACTAATGTGATATTGCCGCTTAGGCTTGTTTACTTCATAATTGGCCAGACGAGAAAGCTGTCCTTTCATTCTTTCTTGTCTGGTAATCGCTGACATTCCACCGATAATTTTTCATTACATTTTTATCACTATAAGAAATACCACATTATATTATTAAGAGAATTTATATGTAAACCAGAATATAATGGGAAAGCTAAAGAAGTAGCATAATTGCACGCATACTTTTGCAAAACAAATTTAACTGATTCAGATGTAATTACGTATAGGTTATACCTAAAAAATTAATGCAAAGTAAGCTCAAACTGGAATTAAAATAAGTAGGGCATTGAGAAAAACTTGACTGAACATTCTCAAGTGGCCTCTTCAGGAAAGATAATGTAAAATTAGTAAGATGAATAACTTATTTTGAAGATAAGTATTGCATGCATGGCTCTGGCTTGATATAAGTAGTAATTTTATTACATATTGTTTAAACCGCTAAAGCACTAAACATGTGCCGAGCTGTCGCTAATTTCAGACTAGGTCCCAGCTGACAAGAGCTAATAGGCTCGAAACCGGTCCTGGGGGTTCCTGAGGTTGGCGAACCTCGAAATTTGCACTATCCTGCTGATGTCTTATTCGGATCATTAATGCCGACGAAATCCTTGTCGTTTTGAAATGGAATATTTATAACCAATCACAAAATATCATCCGACAGACACATATTAATATAAATCTTTCTCAAGATTAGAATTTTATCGAGCAACGTCACATGTCTTCATTAATGTCACACTGAAAAAATCTCAGGTTTCTCTATTAACTGCCGGTACATGTTTATTACCAACGATTATTCTTCCTTGCAGGTCTGGCAACATGAATAAACTGTGTCGGCAAGTATCAATTGAGTCACCGGGACCCATTATTAAGGACTGCGTCTTCAGCTTTGAAGTACCAGTTCCAGATGTTCCATCCAAAGGAGCCCGCATTCGGGTAGTCTGCGCAGGTGCCTGCTATCGCATGCGCACACGAAGCACTTCAACTTCTAGCATGTCTTCCATAGAAGAAGCTGGTTACTCCCCAGCGCATCATGGTGTTAGAGATGGAGCTCTTTTTCCTGGCTATGAAGTGGCTGGAGTTATTGACGCATTGGGCGCCGATGCCGCTGCTAGTGTAAATAGTGCTTAGTTTCATAATTCAGCAAACGTGTGTTAATATGTCTTTCTCCTGCAGGAATTCAAGATTGGGAGTCGAGTAGTGCTCTATCCCTATGATGGAATTCCCCATGGTTATGCGGAATACATTGTGGTTCCTTCTTTAGATTTCTTGGTGCATGTTCCAGACAGCCTTCCTCTTGGGGTCGCTGCCATGTTACCAACTGGTGCTCTATTAGCTAAAAACGCTGTTCTAAGCGCACACAAATATGTTTTGAAATTATTTGAAGAAAAAGCTGCTGATCATGTGGTGCGCATTCTGATTGTCGGCACTGGAGGTCTTGCTCTATGGGCTCTAAGAATTGCTCAACATCATTTTAAAGCTCCGGAATATATTGACCGCGTAAAGATAACAGTTGCAACATTGAAGGACGAAGGCCTTATGAGGACTGCTGCTGAACTCAAACGGTAATTTTTAAATCAGTCATGAGATCAAAAACGAGTTAAATATGTAAAGAGTGAAAGAATTGCTATCATTTCATCAATGAAGATCCATTTTTATAACAGGTTTAGTTATTTTAGTTAATAGGTTTTAGTTAGTAGGTTTGGTTACGTTTAGAACAAGTCCTGATTATAAAAACCGGCACACCTTGTATAGGCGCTTGCATAAAAATGGCGCCTTTCCAAAAGTTAAAATTCAACATAATTTAAATAATATTCATACAACTAAATAATCCATGTTGAGTTCAATAACTATAGTTTTCGATTCTACGACGCATCTCAAGTAAAAAACCCTGATGTACAATTTTAATTTGTTTGTTTCAGAGTAAACATCGTCCAATGGAATGAAGATTTATATGAAAAGCAATTAATTGAAAGGACTAAAAATGCTTGCAACGGATTAGTTGACATTGTCATTGACTTCGGTACCACATCTAGATCTTTGCATAGATCTCTACAATGCTTAAATGCTGTACGTGTTTTTGCAACAATTCAAGTTGACTATATTTTTTAAGCTGTGTTCTTCTAATTGAATAATAAAATCAAATATTTGCTTATTTCTAGGGTGGAGTTGTTTTGGTTAGTGAAGAAGTGGCTGACCGTCTTTTACCAAAGTTTTCGCGATTGATTCATCAAACAAATCAGAAGATTGAAGCAGTGGCAAATGGATCTATCGAACAACTGAAGGAATTGGTGAAATATGTTGCGGAAGGAGCTATTATTCCTCCTCCTCACACAGAATTCTCGGCTGATGAAGCCTCTAAGGTGGTTGAAAAGCTGTGTCACTCCCAAATACCTGGTAGAGCAATTCTGCGTTTCCACGACATTCAGTAAATTATGTTCAGTAGAATAAATCGAATTTTTCGTGGAATATGTATCATATTCCGCTTCACCTTTATCTATTTATGATCTTTTTTACCAAATATATCTTTTGTGATTGTAATATTTCCACGTAGATTAAGTAATTATTTGGTTAATACCCTGGGACAAGGCACCTTATCAAAAGCCTGTTCGCCATTCATCTGAAATTATATTGAATGTTTTTTTCTCCACCAGGCTAGTACTTTAAAATTGTGTTATTTGGTAAGACGCTTATTTGTACCTTTGGCATTGTGATAGGCTTTGTTTTAGTAGTCTAATATTTTTGTAAACCCGTTTCTAGCTTTTGCCTACCTAATTTGAAGATATGTAAGCAACTACCTTAAAAATGAATGAATCGGCGAGTGTGATTAGTTGGGTAAACAGCTAGGTGTGGAGTAGAAAGTTGTACCTAATACTAACAGTATAATTCCTCATCTATAAGTAATAAAATGCTTTATGAAAAATTGTTTAAGGATGTATCGTAAGTAGTAGAAGATTGTTATATTTTTTATTAATTCCTTTTAGTTTAAGTCTGTTCTAATAAGTTTCTATTTTTTGTATGTACATATAAAATATACAATAAATAATAAATCTATGTTGAAATGACTTTTTTTGGCGAACGATACCAATAAAGCATATCTGACACAAAGTGACTATTCTATTACGATCGTATGTTAATTCATAGCTTTATCAATGGAAATGCATTATCACGTAATATTTGCATTTGATTAAAACGGCTGATCCAAATCCAACAAAGAAAGTAATTTTTCATCCTAAAAGTTCTGAAAGCTAACTTCAGCATTTCAAGATGAAAGCTGATGACCTTACTTTTGGGCATTGCCAGATTGCAGCCACTGTTTCGTATCCTTTAGGGATATATCCCCGTAAATAGTTTAATTAACTGAGCTTTTTTTAGAGCCAGCATTAAGTTTAGAGTATATGTTTGGAACTCTAACTTAGTTAATATAAATGTTGGATCAATTCCAAGCAGAAATTATTCTGTTTTCTAATATCCGAGTAGAATCCTGGAAAAGTGAAATTTTCTGGATAGTAAAGTTTGACAACAGGGCTTTCAGTCAATTTTCAGGTCACTCTTTTTTCTTTTCAGTCGTTTCAGTTCACTGTTTACTCTAGGGCCATGAAGGGTAGTGATTTTTCAATATTTTACTATTTTTCTAAACATGTGTAACTGAAAAAAATGTGATAGTTGAACAGAAAAGTTTCTAGCTGAAATGGGATCTGGATTGTTTCTTGGGGCTCTGTTTTGTTACCTGTTTCCCATATTGCTGAAAGCTGAACATGGTAGGTGTAAAGTTTATTTTTAAATAATATTAGTATTTATGGTGACAAATGTTTTTTTTTCTGTTGTTTAATATACCTATTATTTCCAATCGGTGTTCAGGAGGATGTAATGCATTTTTGAATGCTCAGGCTCCTGTAATCCAATTAATATTTATGTATAACTATTGAATTATTGGTACATTATAGCATGAATAATGCAAAGCAAACTTCTGAGAAACAGATCAAATATCTTAGGGGATGCTTTTTAGGTTAAAATAGTCTAGAATTCGATTTTCAAAACTAACATTTTTTTAATGCTAATTACGGATTATATATAATATTAAAACTTGTATAGGTTAAGTGATTTTTTTTTGAGAAGTTTAATTATATTGTTTATATATATTTACTAATTAACTTTTACAACTGCTGATACTATTAACTCTTTCAACCAAGACCCGATTAACCTGTGGTAGGGTTAAATATACCCTATATACCGGGTGATCGCGTTTTGTTGGACAAATTTTGAAAAATTTTGATAGTGATTATATCTCAGACACACCTATATTTTGGATCATTAATACGTGTAATCACTTACCTAAAACCAGAGAAAATTGATATTTTCTATCAATCTCTCAAATAAATCTCAACATTTTATTCTTATTTCTCAATTAGAAACGCGGAGTATTCGATTTTAATTGGAGGTAGTTTACATTCGGAATTTTTGCTGACGGTTTGCAATGCCTCGCTTAAGCAAAGTTTAATTTCGAATAATAATATGTTAAAGTGAGTTTGAGGACATACCTAAATACTGGATACGTGTACATGCCGTCTCTATTAAATAGATCACTACAAAGTTCTTATTAACACCAAAAAACCTCAAAGTTAACAGCCACACTAACTTGTCATTAAAATCGCTCGCATTTGCAAAAACAAACCGATCAAGCGGTTTCTTTGCGACGACTTATGATTGGGTAACTTATTGACATTATTTGGCGGTACATTCAAATGAAATATGAATATTATGAATATTAATTCATCTTTTTGTGTACTTTTTGTATGTGTACTTGTGTATGTATAGGGTGTATCGTATATAAACGTAAGTTTAATACTCTAATATAATATTGCATTTAACTATAATTTAACTATAAGACAATAAGATACAAAGCAAATTTTAAACATGCTTTTTGGAAAATTATGTTTTCATGTTACTTTCGGATCATAATTTTTAATTTTGGTTAACATAACTCGGACTAGCCATATTCAGATCATCTTCCCTGTCGTTATTACTTTCGTATAAGCTGGTGGTTTTCTTTATTTCAGAAACTTTGTCCTCTTTAGCACCATCTAAATATTACTCATTCCGCAGTTTTTAAATTACTTTATAATCATCGTCTCTTCCTTCACAGGTGGTTTCTTGGATTTTTCATCCATCAGGTACAAACTTGTTGGAGTGATATCTTATTAACCATTTATTCAACTTTTCTCGCACAAAATGTTTAAATGGTTTATTGATAACTGAAACTATAAGATACGAAGTCGGTTAAATTAGGAAAAAGTTGCTTAATTTAGGGGGCCACATACATGGCATTTTCGAAAATCAAGTATTTCTTTTATTTTTTCAGATATTTAGAAAAAAGTGATGTTTGGAATCTTAGGTCTTTTTAATTTTTCAAGTAATTTCAAATCATATCAAAAGACAAAAAATATTTTCTTATGGCACCCTTTCGAGCTCTACAGGACGGTGTTTAGTTTATTACGTTACGTTGTTTTTGAAGCTATGGTCAACTTTTCTTTTTCATTTGCACCGGAAAAACGCACATAACGTATAGTTTTACCAATAAAAATAAAATTAATTTATAAAGAAACAATTTTTTTAATGCAAGAACCGGTGCAAATCGTCTGTGTAATACATCGTTGCATTCCCTATTAAAGAGATATCTAATCCGTAATATTGGTGATAGTTTCTCAGAAACAAAACGTTGAAATACATTTTCAGAAACAGCATCTTGTACAGCTCTAAAAGTTGCCATGCGAAAGTATTTTTTTCTTTTTGATATTGTTTGAAATAACTTCAAAAATGAATATACATACATATTCTAAATAAATATATATTTTTGAAAACGCAATTTAAGATTCCCATGCGATGTATTCTTATCTGGGACGCCCTGTATGCATAATGTTACAATATTGCAGGGTTTTTAAACCAGGCAATCCCTTCATTCCTGTCTCATCGATCCATCTTTTTTCTTGGCCGTGAATAATAACGCCACTAGGAATTTCATCTTTTGCTAATGTTTTTCTCTTCAATATTTACGATGCGTTAGTTTTCTTCGGTTCGCGCAAAAAGCTGAAACTACAATGTACTGACTTTCTTGGTGAATTGTTGTTTTGATCCCTGTTAATTTAGTGCATTTTGAATCTACAGTCCGATTATAAAAAAACATTAAGTTAGATTGCAATTCACTCATTTGCAATTTGATTCATCTCGAAATAATCTTTCCTTYTTGATATAACAAATCTATGGAATTTTAGATTCGAATTKTGTCGGCATTTTTTGGGCTARCGTGGTATAAATAATCCATGTCTCTTCATAAATCTAAAGCACCTATCTAAACACCATCTAAAGCAAAGCTAAAGCACAGACGGAGATCCGAAAAATCTAAAATTCCATTAGCAGTTGCCCATCTTTTAGCTTCAAAAATTATCATTTTCGCAAAAACAGATATTCCCATAYTTCGGTGCTTCGATTGATTGTTACAGAATTGTTCACTTGTAATTCGAACTCGATATATATATTCTTCGATCTTTGCTGAACAGTTTTAATTGTTCTTCTTCTATTCTCGAACCATTTTCTATGTTGATGGTCGACTAAAATGTATTTCTGCTGTTGTTTCTATATGGTTTTGTCTAATGATCCCATTTCGTTTTTACCTCTAGCTATATGAAAGTCTTATTTGTTTTACTTTGTCTTTTGCTAATTTTMGAATAAAAATTGAATCAGAATAATAAACTAAAATGTATAGGTATAAAGATAAACCGCTGATTTGCTCACTTGATTTTAGATAACAGGCATTGTCCTACCTTCAGTCGAATTTAATATTTTTCGTGCTATAAGACGTACGTCAAATCTAAAGACAATTTATTGAAAAATATGTTTTAATATTACCTTCGGACCACATGACGCATCCAAAATTTTACTCCACTTTTCGACTTGAAAGTTGCGTCTGATACTACGAAAAATACCTTAGTTGGAGCTGTAATGTATTATACGTCTTTATGTTATTTTCCATAAAGTTCCTGCATTTTTCCATATTACGACCACAATATACAGGGTGATTTTCTCTTTCTTCTTTCTTCACTAGTATGCTTTCCATTGTAAATCTATTCATTGCTAATTTATGCAACCGTTTTCAGAAAACAAAATATTGCGGAAATTTTTCAGCAAATATGTTATTCAGTGAGAAGCAGGGCGGAAGCATTTACGTAAACGGGGTATTTTGCACAATTTTTACAATTGATATTAGGTACAACATTAGGTTATTGTTGTATGTTGATATAAATTATTGAATCATAATTTCTGAATACGTGTATGGAATCAATTCTTGTCTAATGACTTATTGCATATCTACTTAATTCGTTTTCTTTTCATAAAATGTAAACACCAGTATTTTTCAAACTCACTGTATGAAAAATACTATTATCAATTTTCTAGTAAGATAGAATCATGTAAATATCGGCTTATCATCAAAGTAAATAAAAATATTGCTATTCGAGTCGTATCGTCAATAATATTCCAGACTACACTTGCTATATTAAAAATTACGACAACTTCAATAGCTAACATGAAGTTTTGTATTTTATTTATATCCACTAGCAAGTTGCTATAATGTTCAAATTTTTTATAATTGGCAATATCTACAGCTTTATGTTTAGATTAATACTGCGTCACTAATTAAAAATTTTAATAATACATCAACGTGCTTATTTAATTACTAATATTCAAAGGTGAAAGACAAGTTTCTAGAGTGCTGATTAAGGCTTAATATCTGATTTTTTGCTACCGAATTTTGAAATTTCTAGTATTGTCTCTTTTTAGCCCTAATTATTATTAAGATATCACCATATATTTTCGTAATTTGAGGTTTTGAAAAATTGCAATTGTTTTTGCAAATATTTTCTTAATTCAATTTTTTTTTGAATGGTAGAACATTAAATTTTAATGCAGAGGAAAAATAATTCAAGGCATGTTTTCCTTCTTAACCTTCTTATAAAAGTTCTAAGTTTTAAAAAACAATGTCCGTCTCTGATAAAGAATTCGAATTTGTTCTAACATCCCATATCTAATAAGAAAAATCAAAACGTTTCGAGACAGAGGCAAACAAATTCAAATTCTTTCAATTTCAATGATAATCGAAATATTGTAATTCTTATTTTTAAGCTTCCAGTAATCTCATTTCGTCCGAGTATATTGAATTAGCATAATTCATTTACTATCTACTTGTATATTAAAGTACATTCAAAACATGATTTCGCGTATATGTATAGATAGGTATATTTATTTTATATCTTTTAATACTAATTTTAATACTGAATATTTATTTTATATCTTTCTAATATATTTTTTCAGCCTCGTTCTATGGAAACAGTTATATATCAATTCCATTTGAAGAGTCTAAAACTTCCTCAGAAATCTACTTCAAGTTTAAAACCCGGCTTGCTGATACTTTAATTTTGCTCGTCGCTGGAGTAACGGATTATTGCAAAGTTGATTTGGAAAATGGAAGAATTCGTGTCGTTGTAAACTTGGGATCTGGGGAAGCTGAACTTATATCGCATGGAAATCCGAAGTTGAACGATTTCAAGTGGCACGATGTTACAATTTCTAGAAAAGATGGAAATTTGTCGATGGCTGTTGATAAGGCGCGGAAAATATTGTGAGTTGCATGAATTTTTATGTGATCCTATTCGTTTATATTAAGTTGTATAAATAGTTTTATATTGGATTAGTATATTCCATTATAAAATGGAAATCTTTTTTATATTTTTGCTACTTGTTTTGGACCCCAATATATGGAAGAGCTTTCCGTATAATAATGTTCATAAAAGGTTGAGGAGGCAAATAACGCAATGTCAGGTGATGTTAAATAATAATGAACAACCGTACACAAATCTCTTGCTTTTAAAGCCCTCATCGTCGTATTTCCTGCTTACGTTTATCAAGCCTGCTTGAAATTTATAACGATGGTAGGTTTTCTAACATTATGAAAGCTGCTTTCACTGGAGATATTCTGCAACTCCATGTAGGTGGATATGCGAGACGCAAAGAAAATTATATATATAAAATAATAATAATGCGAGAGTAGATCCAAAGCAACATAAGAGATTGTAGTAGAAAAGGGCAAACAACTCCATTAGTGCATGTAGAGGAAATATGCCAACAATTAAAAAGAAAAGAAAAACGATACACCAAACATCAATTGTTTTGTTGCAAAATATTCAGGACAATTCAAGAATCTTAATTTCCTATCGCGTATTCAGAAGTCAAACACACCAAGTTTAGAGAGAGAGAGAAGTCTAAGAGATAATTTAAAGTTGGCTAAAAATTTAAAAAAATGTGCGGAAATTATTGAATTATTGTAAGTGCCTTTCATAAGCAGCGAATGGCTACAAGCGGTTCGAATTACAGAACATGTATTTGATGTTTATTTAATTATTGTCAACATTTACTTTTTCAGTGTAACTTATTGCGGTATAATGAGATTTTGAACTTCACATTTAAGTAAAGTTTTTTAATTATCGATTTCAAGAACGGCTTACAGATATTACGATGCAGAAATAGAAGAGCATGAATAGGTTTTCTCATATAGAAAAATGTAAGAAAATTTCTTTTTTATCCTACATTTGTAGCATATTTATTCTTATAATAAAATAAAAATAAATTGAACTATTTAGTTTTCAAAGCCTGGTAAAGGCTTAAAATATTAACGTTTAGTGCATTGATTTTCGTTGTCAAGTCTTTCCCCTACTCAAAATAAACTTAACGTTGACTTGGTAGTTGCCGGTTTTCTTGGCACGTTCTGTACAAAGGAGATGTTTCCGCAGAATTGCATGAAACTGGTGAGTCTTTCGGGCTTCTGGGCCGTCGTAGAGAATAATTTCTTTCTGACGTTTGACAAGCACGAGTGACTTACTTACATCTTCAAAAAAAGTGACGAAGCGTCAGAAATAATTTTATTTTATTATTTTCCACAACGTAAAAGTCCGAAAAACACTAGTTTACACGCTACATTTCCATTTAATTGTTTCTTACCCACTTCAATTAATCATAAATTGCGGTTCTTCGAACTTTCTACACACGATTAAACAGCAAAAAATACCCAAACTTGCATAATGTACATTGATTTTATTAAATTTTTATTTACATCATCGGCTTCTATAAATGTGGCTGAATATGTATTATTTTTTATGTAGTAGCACTAACCTATTTGAAAATAAGTATGTGTATTTTAAAGCGGTTTCAAACAATCATCGATAATACTTACGACGTTGCTTACTTCAATTTTTCAAAATTTATGGAATTTTTCTATACTTACTTGTTGGTATATTTTTCTATAATTGCTAAAGTAATAAAATTTGATTTTACTTTATTATATAATGTGATACAACTTTTTTTCGATCAGTTACGATAACCGAAATTTTACATATCTATATTATGAAACTGTTTTAGCATTCAAAAATGAAAAATGTTTAAATTAGTTGTTCAACTAACTTAATTCGTAATCTAAGAATGTTCAATTTCCGCTTTTACATTTAAAATGCCTGAGAACGCTTTCAGGCTTCCTCCCGAATAATCCAGAATATTTCGGCACAAGTTTAACAGTGTCTCTTTTACGACAGATGTAGTTAGAGGGGTGCGTCACCTGAGAATGTTATAAATTTAAAATTAGATTGCGGAATCGATAGTATTTGAATAGTGCTACACAAGGTCACGTTTTTTTTATTGAAGCAATTGATCGTTTAAGAACAAATAACGGATTTAATTTTGCGCTATATGATATACATTTCTAAAAAAATTAACTAATGTACACAATACTCATATAAACGTATATAACTGCAGACTTTAAATTGATTCCACAAACTATTGGTTACGTGGAATATATTCTAACATTTCCATTTGATCAATAAATACTTTAATTTGTTAAACATTAGCTACTTTTTGTAACAGATACTGATTACCTTAATATTATTGTTTGAAACAAACGAATCTCTTACTACGTACTTCGGTCAGAATAGAATTATTCTTAGTTCCTTCTTTCTTTTATCCTAAATTGAAATCCATCATTCCGTATCCGCACAACGAATAAAATATTGGATTACGAATGGCAACGCTATAGATAAGCATTCAATAAAGCTGAGTACTTTAAGTCCAAATCCAGATTAATTCTGAGTTTTAAGTGACATTTTTATATTTTTTTTCTATCAATTCACAGCAGAAGCAAAATAACTGTGGATTTGGGGAGTAATAAAAATGTGAGTTTAAATTGATTTTATTTAGTCCTTTGCCAGACTACACTTTTTCAGCTGGGCCGAAAAGCTCTAATGAAATATTCATAATATTTTATACAGCTATCATGCTTGGTAGACGTGATACCCGATATAATTTTTCTTTCAACTGAATATTTTTAAATATACCGTTTAAGAAAAAAAATTACTGTTTTGATAAATAAATGGGTTATATGCTGCATATTTGATTTCTTTTCAGGTCATTCGTTGTGGTGTTTGCTTTATTTATGCATTCTAAACTCAACGTAAAATTTTAATTCGAATCGATTTTCTTTATTGATTTACAGTTCCAGTTCCCAGCTGAACTAATAAGACTATCACTAAATTATCACTAACTGATGTATCAAACACTTATAACAGTAACTAACTTTTAATTACAGCACATAAAATAAACGATTAGGTTGTACCGATTAATTGTTTAAAATAAACTTATTATAGATACACACTGAGACGCTACTTTAAATAAGACTATAAAATCAGTCCCGATTATTTTACGACCGCGAGACTAGTCCACATTATCGGCAGTCGTATAAAAAAGAACCTGATATTTTCTTGAGTAGACTAAAAACAATTAGAATTACACAATTTTCCAGATTTTCATTAGAATACCTACATAATAAGTAGATGCATAATTTAATGTTAAAATAAATTCAACACTTTTGTGCTTTTGTGTTTAGTAAAAAGTGCCAATAATGGAATTTACAAAAAAATAATTCTCACATTCCAAAGTGGAGGGCACCCCAAGTAAAATTCAGGTTGAGTGGCTTTACAGCCAATTCAAGTTTGAAGCAACCCCATTAACGTGACGGTCAAGAATCTCATTATATTTCAAGCAAAATAAATGTTTTAAACAACTTATAATAACGGCCTTATTTAAGAGAAAGGATTACACAAGTGTGGGATTGTGGCCCGCGAATGTGTAAGTGCAGCATGGCTACTCCTTTAATCTGCGCCGACACCAAATATAGGGAATACGCAGACTGTAGCAGATTCAGCTGCGTAGTTTCTTGCGGGTATTGCTCGCTTTCCCAAATTTTCTACCGATGCATGCCAGTTGTTACTGATATTTTTAATTAGAACTGAAGAATTAAGCGGCTATTGTGGCTGGCTATATGTATATTTTCTTACTCTAATTAATGGATCGCGGTATTTATGTAAAGAAACTACGGTTAATCCATAGAGTCAGCCCCTTGTCCTTCCCATTAAAAATGACAAAGTTCTCTAAAATTGGAATATTTTTGCCTTCTAAGCAGCAAGCGCCTATTTAATAACTATTTTTTTATTGTTTGGGAACATCTTCAAATTGTGTTCTCTATCAAGAACGAGGAGTTCGAGAAAGTGATATTTTTATAACATCTATATACCTTATTACCTTGGTGGACATCCAGAGGAAAGTATCATGTCAATATACATATATTATTATGATTATATTTAAATTGATGATATATTGGAAATCAACCAAATTTATTACATATTCAAGGTAAATTATCTTTTCAGTTCCAAAATACCTGGAAAGCATTACGAATTGAATATTCATTATGGATTATTTGTTGGTGATCATAGGAATAAGAACAATTCCGATCTGTTTTTCGGACATATCAAAACTTTCAGAGGCTGCCTTTCAGGAGTAATGCTAAGATAAATCTGCTATTTTCCAGTTTAATCAATAGATCATAATTCCAGTTAAAATATAACGATGTAGCCGTTCTGGAAACTGCCCGGCAACGCCAATCACAGGCCACGGTCGAAGGTATTACTTGGAACTGTGCGGCCGAATTTGAGGCTTCTTTTGACCAACCTATCAGCTTCGTCGAAGATGACGCATTTTTAGTAATACCACAAAAAACGAAGTTTAAAGATTTAAGTATGAAGATGGAAATCAAGACTATTGTGAGTGATGGCCTAATATTTTTCAATCCTGGAACGGCTAAACAGGATTTCTTGCTTCTTGAAGTTTCCAATTACAGTCTTTCTATAACAGTGAAAGTAAGCGAAAAAACTGTTAAACTTAGTGTACCTAATAAACCAGTTGCTGATGGAAAATGGAACCAGGTGAGTCACACTCCAGATGTTTGATTTTGAAAACGTTCTGCCATAGATACCGAAAATAATATAAGTCATAGTGTTTCTTTTTCTATACCAAAAAAATAATCTCAAATTTATTTTACATTTAATAAATATGTTGCGTATGGGCTGTAGTCATATAACAGCAAATATATAGATATTTATTATGTACCCTTTTGCAATATCAGGCAACATTACTACTACTTGCAGATCAGCTTTCGTCTTTCATCCACCACCATAGAACTTGCGATGAATGAACAGGTCGAATTCAGTCGAAATCTGCACGCGTCTTTAATTCAGCTTAGTGAAATATCGTACATTGGAGGTTTAGAAGTGAGCCGGAAGTTTAGGGCTACTCAAAAAGGTTGCGGATTATCGTGCGACTTAGGCTATAAAGGATGCATTCGCAGCATTTATATCATGGATACGAAACGTGGGCTTCCAGATGCCCAAGTAAGAATTTATATTTTTTGCTTGGGCGCTATGATTTGGAATCGCATATTTTAGTCTTCGGATGGGTTGCTTCCGGGGTGCGTTTGGAGTTATCCGTGTTTACGACATCCATGCCAACCAGGAGCTACTTGTTCTCAACGTGGTCTTGACTCATTTCAATGTAGGTGCCAAAACAACATCGATTTATCATGTGTACAACGAAATTACACGGAGAGTTATTCTGTCTTCTCCAGAGCTGCCAGTCTGGCAACTGAGTTGGAGTTATTAAGCGTTGAACCGTTGGAGGTATAGTTGATGGTCGTGTGTACATTTGAATTTGCATCTTCTACTGGATATATCGAAATTTTCAGGTATTGGAAAGTGGAACTGAAATTATTACGACTACCACGTTACACTTAGTACTCGATTATAAAAAATATGGTATAAAAGACGATGGTGTTACTTTTACGGTTCAGCAAGGACCAGAACATGGCGCGGTTACTGTAGATAGTTGGCCACAAAAGCAGACATTTTCTTTGCTGGATGTCGCTAGAGATAAAGTTCATTATGTACACGATGGTTCTGAGGACCGAAGAGATGTAATTGCTTTATCCGTGTCTTTTTCTGCAGCAGATACTTTTACGCTTCCTGTCTACCTACAAGGAAATTTTAGGTGAGGTTTTATAAAACCTTGAAAATTAATATTAAAATCTTCAAACTGGCGTGTTATGCATCAAACACTGTTCTTCTTGTTAATAGGTTTACCATTATTGTTAACGTTGTGCCAAAAAACGATGCCCCAGTATTTGATACGTCGGAGACCAAAGTATTACGAGTAGTCCAGGTAATCAGTTTTGAAGATTTTAATTCAGCATGTTCGTTAATGAGTGATAATATTTCAAGGCTGCAAAATATGACTGCCTCTACTTATTTTTCTTTATTTAATTAATTCGATGGTTTGCTAACTTATTGTTTTCCTTCTTTAGACTTTTAGTGATTGACGATGATGCATTTTATATAATTTTTGATCTGCATGATAAGATTAAGACTGACGGTAAGTTGCATTTTGTTTGCCACTATTTTAACCATAGATTTCACTTCTCGGAATATAAATCGTTAAGGGATGACCATAAATTAGGTTGCATCATTTGAATCTTTTTATTCTACCGCCAATACTCAGGCAAAAGTATATATATTCAAACCCATGCATGCAAACGCTTCCTTTACGAGATACAGGCCCCAGGTACAGATAACAAAGGTTTTTTTTTCAATTTTTTTTGTATATAACAAATATTATAACAAGAAGTTGCAACAGCAAAACAAAAAAACACTGTAAACAGAATTAGTAACAGTTTGTACTTCAGTCATACGTTATACTACAGATATTTTCGTCTCATTTTTTCTTATAGAATATGCAGTTAAAATTACGCAACCTAATTGCGGGTCACTCTATCCAATCACAACAAAAAAAATCGTATATTCGTTAGAATTGAAATTCCTCATTTATGGTACAATTGCATTCAACCAACATTCAACATTCACTTAGTGATAGCTGAATATATTAGTCATTTTGTACTTTTGTTAGCGAGGTATTTTATTGCGCTTTCTATACTATTCTATGCAAACATGAATTTGTGAAATATCATTGCATTGTTAGAATGCGGCCACCATTAAACTGTATGCATAAAAATGGAAATTCACGGGGGAGACTCAGGGGTGATTCCATGGACGAGAATACTATTAGCAATTGATTCATTTAATACCAATTAATTATAATTTATAAATGTTTCCTATTTTCATCTGCGTATTTACTACTTCTTAGTAAAATGCTATGCGAAAAAGCTGTTTGGAATTCAAAGTTCAGATTCCTTGATAATACTATTTTCCTTAAAGCTGTAATATAGTTCTGTTAACTTATAAAAAACGTTGACTGATCAAGTAAATTTAATAAAATTCAAAAGGCATTTTACAAGATGCTCAGTATTCTCGTATAAAAAGAAATTAGAAATATATGTAGTAGAGATGACTATAGAGAATTGATGAATAGGGAAATCTTTTGAAAGTTTTTGTTTATTTCCCTTTCCAAATTCAGACGCGCGTTTTGGTTTCTGAAAAATCTCAAACAAAACCTCAAAATATACAACATTTTTTTATTACTAGATATAATGAAAAAAGCCACATAAAGCAAAAATTTTCCTCGCTTAAAATTTTTGAATATACCCAAGTACAATAGCAGCATAGGTATTTAAAATGTAACTCTGTAACTAGGTTATTTTTTTGTAGTTTTTGAAAAAGTAAATATCAAAGTATTAAGAGCCTCAGTGAAAAAAATATTTTACTTTGAGAAATCTCTTGAAATTTAAAATGAAAAACGTGGAAACGAGGTTTGAGCTTATCATAAAAGTTTGAATTGCACCTCATGTATGTTATGATTCCATTAATTTACTCATTCTTGTCGCCTTGCTTTGAAGTGACTTGTAATTAAATAGTAAATACATTTTACACAATAGTTATATTCAAAATCGGTTGCTAAAATAACATTTAATCGTTATTAGAATGATGATACCGTTATAAGCATGTTCAAGATTACGCAGATTGAAAGAACCCAATCACTTATTCAACTTTAAAATCTTCAATGTTAAAATAGATCGATCAATGCATTTTTTGGAGTCTATATTTCTTACTTTCGAAAGCAACAGCTTAAAAAATATTACACCGGCTCCAGATGCTCTGAGTACCTACCTATTGGATATTTGATTAAATGCGATTGTAGCCAAAAATTAATTTTGCATATGGAATATATTATCATTACATGTAAAAAAATACGTAGTTATAGTAATTTTTCTAATAACGTATTATAAGGATAGCTATAACCTAATAAACAATCCTTAATCATTAAATCACTTGTATTGAACATTTCAGGGCGCAAAAAAGGTGATAACTTCTGATCTTTTCAAGACTGAAGATCCAGACAATACACAATCAGAATTGGTTTATAGAATTATATCTAGCGAAGTGGGTTATTTTGAACACCTGAGAAAGCTGGGCGCTAAAGTGGATTCGTTCACTCAAGAAGATGTCAATAAAAAGAAAATACTTTTTGTTCACACTAGTCCAGACGCTTCAGATTCTTACGTATCGCTTGAGGTTTCCGATGGCGTTGAAGTGAGTCCTGTCTATAAAGTACGAGTTTCAGTAACTCCGCAAATTTGGCGACTAGATAGAAACACTGGACTTCTTCTTTTGCATCAGACATACCAAATAATTACACCGTATAATCTAAGTTATACCTCAAATGTGCCAAATTCAGATTATAATATGTTATTCAAGATCGTTAAAAAGCCATCTTTTGGAGATGTCGAAGTGGACAGAAGTGCTAACATTTGGGAGCCAACGAAAAGCATAAATATGTGGGAACCCACAGATGTGTTTCTAAACACAGATCTGAAACAGCATAAGGTGCGCTATCGGCATTCTATCGGGGAGCCGCAATTTGATGAGTTTCAATTTAGAACGGCTGTGAATAAAACGCAGTTGTACACATTTCGCCTCACTTTTGTCGAGTGCAAACTACAGCAAGCAGCTTCCAAAGTTCTAGAGTTAAATAGCGTTTGGGAAGCCCCAATAATACCAAAATCTTTACTGTTTGAAACACAACCAACCAAATCGTCTGCATCTATAACGTACCAAGTCATCAAATACCCTCAGTATGGGTATTTATTTTTTGCAGTTTCAAAATATAGAATTAAATGTTTGGACAATTTTACACAAGAAGATGTTTTCTCGGAAAACATACGTTACAGATTGCATCAAAAAGCATTTTCGGATGTAACAGATAGTGTAATTTTTTCGGTGAAATCACCAGGATGTGGTAATAGTACTGCCAACTTAACAGTTAAATATTACCCTTCAAATGAGGATAAATTTAAGGTACAAGTGAATATAAAACAACTGGATGTTGAAGAAGGCATGTCGGCTGTCGTAGATAGAGCCCATCTTTATATACATGCAAATTTTGTGTCCGATTTAATTTTTAATGTCACTTCAGCGCCAAAAAATGGTATGCTGCAAACTATTAATGGTGACAAAATCCGAAACCACACAAGATCTTTTGCGGTTCAAGAATTAAATGATAATGTTATATACTATGTGCATGATGGCTCAGAAACAGACCACGACAGTTTTAAATTTATGGCTCTTTCAAACACAGATGAGACGTTCCAGTATGTAGGCCAGCTCCAAATAAATGTTCACCTTAAAAATGATCACAGCCCTGTTCGAGTAGTAGATAAAGTGTTTCAAGTAGTTGTAGGAGGCGAGAAACTGTTAACTGATAAAGATTTAAAATATATAGATTTGGATATTGGAACTCCAACATTCGGAATTATTTACACTTGCAGAGAGATTCCCAATGGACAGTTCTTTAATATAAAAAATATCGAGTCAAATATTACAGAATTTACTCAAGAAGATCTAGATAATAAAACGATTTTATTCAAACACAAAGGTCCCGAATATGCTAAAGTTCGCCTATGGGTAACCGACGGTCAGTTTCATGTCAACGGAATACTAGAAATACAAGCATCTGGACCTTTCATCCATATAGAAATGAACAAAAAAATTATTGTGGAAACAAAAAAATCCACAATATTAACTACAGAACACGTCCACTACTCGACCAATCTTCACACTTCTGACTCAAGAGTGTTTTACGAAATATCCGGAGGATTGGCGTTTGGAAAAATTTTTGATCTCAAAAATCAAGTTCTGCAGCATTTCACACAGGAGGACATTAATTTGGGACACATAAAATATCAGAATGAGGATCCATCAGGAGATGCCGACGAAATAGGACTAAAGATTCGTTGCAAAGATGCAATTAATGTTGCTCAAATAGGAGTGCTAATACTTCCATCCTCATACTGGGAACCTTTACAGTTGAATCGTCTTAAGAAATTAACAGTTGAAGAGTCAACAAGCGCTTTGGTCACTAAGGATAATTTGGAGGTATGTAATTTTACTTATTTGGTTTTTCTCAACTCTTTTGGGTACCGAACAAGGGATGTCGGTTGTATTTCAGTTATTAAAGATGGTTTTATTCGCATAGTGGCGTTCCGAAACTTATGAGTTGTGATAGCGGTTTGGGCCTAGATTGATTTTTTATTTTCGACTTCAGGGCTTCATTAAGGCTAATTTTGATAAAGATATAATGCTGGCAAAGCGTTGAAACGTTGGCCATTTTTAGATTAATGGGCAGCTGGATTACAAGATTTCAATCTAGTCCCAAACCCGCTGCAACAAGACGATAGGAGCAATAAAAGGTTGAACATGGAAACAAAGTCTAGTAGGTATAATCGAATGAAAATTCTAGGAATTTATTTTTCTATTTGAATTTTTTTCGTCAAATAGTTAATTTATCAGTTCCAAATAAGGGCTATTTTTCAATAAAAGTCTGCTTTGTGATAACGGAAATTTGTTTTTTGTTCAACTTAGCTTTGCTTTTTAAATTTAAAACTGCTTTCCAGCAAATTTCGTTTGTCGATTTGATTGATTTGATTTGATTGATGATAACAATACAATACGATCGGCTTTCTACCGTTTATTGAGGTGCAGCCGAAATCCCTTAATGTGAGTTAGACGTACATGATCACATCTTTTTCACGTAATTATCACATTTGCTGCTGATTAATTTGGTTGGGAAAAATTAAGTAAAACAGTCCGATTTCTGTATATTTCATGATATTAATGACAAAGCTCCTCATTTAATGAGAAATAGATTTAATATAAATTCGAAAGTTGCGCTATTAATTACTATTACTAATTAATTACTATTCACTGTCATTAAACTGTAGAATTCGACTTTTTTTTAAATTATGCGCTGGCTTTTTGTCTAATTATCAGTTCGCAATATCAATTTTTCACTGTAGAATAGTTTGATTATATCTTGTGATTTTTTGGATATTCTTTGATAGTTTGTAAATTAAAGTTGATGTCCTGAATGAAAGCTAAGACATGTTTTCTTGATCTTTTCCTCGACTTCTGAAGTATTGATCATAAAATCTCTATCACCCTGAATAATTGAACATTAATAAAACTCTAAAAACTATGTGTATTTCAGGTTATCCAGCCAAATGTTCCGACATCAATAATAACATTCCATATAAACGAAAGACCTCAATATGGGTATCTGACCATTCTATCAGAGTCTAAAAATGGTAGTGAAATACTTAATGTTGCTGCTTTTTCCCAAAGTCTACTGAACGAAAATAGAGTCCTATATATTCAAGCTGGTGTGAACCAGTCGCGAGACACCATAATGTTTAATGTTACCAATGGATTGGTTTGGTTGAATAATATTCGTTTAGATATTATAATCATTCCCGATTTTTGGTATTTGGGGAGTAACGAAATTATTGTCAATGAAGGTGGTTCTATGCAAATTTCTCCCACGCATCTTTATGTTGAAACGGAATATTTTCGATCGATGCAAGTCACTTTCAAGATAATAGAGAATTTCAATCATGGATGTGTTCAGATCTATAAGCAATGTTCGAAAACAAAATCTTTCACTTCTAACAACCTCACAACAGGCACAGTAGAGTACCAGCATGATGGTTCAGAAAACCTGAAGGATTTTGCCACCCTTATTGCTCAAATAGGCGATAAGAAAAGTGAAAAAGTCAAATTATTAGTTATAGTTGTACCAGTCAACGATAATGCTCCTAAGTTGGTTAATAATACGGGATTGGAAATGTGGGAAGGTGGTACTTCTGTTATCACCAACACTATGTTAGGTGAGAAGACCCACATACCATTCTACGGCAATTAAAATATATGTCATACTCTCTTTACAGCTGCAATAGATGATGATAAACCTAAGGAAACTCTTAAATACCATGTGCAAAGCTGCTGGTGGGGAAATGTTTCTTTAATAACCGATGATAAAACCCCTTTAAATTATTTCACTCAAGAATTTGTTGATCATGGGTTGATCATATTTCAACACCACAGTAAGTACAATATTCTAGTTAATCTTTGAATCTGAAATCTTTGAATTATTAAAATTTTGTTTACAATATTTATACTAACCAAGCCTTGCTTGACATACAATACCTTAAAACTCGATGATTTCGACTTATTTGTTTTAACAAAAAGTCGTAATTTTACATAAAAATGTAACTTCAACATTTTTGTGTTGTAAACCTTCAAATTTATTCGCTTCTACTTAAATATATTAATATAGTTAAGTAATATCATTAAAAAATGTGATAGTAATCGAAGTCTTCTTATTGGCCATCGAATAGTTGGTAATTTTGTAGATTTATATTCCTTTCTATTTCGTGGCTGAATTTTTTATTTGTGAGAAACTAATGATGTCATTAGATGATTATATGAACTGTTGAAGCTGTTTTCACTGCTGTAGCCAGATGTATTATTTTTGGTATTTTATTTAAAATAAATCGGTTTTATCAACACTGCAATCCCGTTCACGTGCGTACGTATGCAGCTATAATTTCAACAAATTTTGTCAGATATTCTAGCGCTGGATCTGGTTCCGCACTTTTTTCAATCTTAAATTATTCGAAAAATGTTTTTTTAATTCCAAAAATATACAAACATTTTACAGCAATCAATGGTGCTTTCAGGCAAAAACAGTTTACTTTCAACCAAAAAAGTAGATGGTAACTGACTTTTCCAAATTTTCCATCGCATCATCTTGAACTCAAGCTCGAAGAAAAAATACTCAATTAGAAAAAGTTTTCTAATGGAGTACGCATCCAATAACTTTTGATTTCAAGTCCTTTTATGGCTAGGTGTTCTCTAGGTACAGTCGTTCTAAATGAACATTTTTCTTCGGTATTCTGTTAGTAATTCGTTTAACCGGCATATATGTGCAATAATGTTTCAGATGGATCTAGAGCAAGATTTATTTTCAACGTAAGTGATGGAATTCATACAACGAAAGACTATTTGTTTGAAATCAAAACGAAAAAAGTACAAATGAAGCTGTTTACCAATAAGCCGCTGTATATATTTCCTTTGCAAAAAAAAGTGATAACGAACAATAATCTGCTGACGAAGAATTCTGATGGTAGACGAATGTTATATGTTATTACTAAACCACCTACATTAGGAAGACTGATGATGAAGTCTAGTATGAGAGAATATAACAGTGTTGTATCGAATTTTACCCAACAGGACATAGATAATGGAACAATTTACTATGAGCATTTGCATCCATTTTTGGATTTATATGCAAATGACTCTTTTGTGTTCACAGTAACGTCTTACTTAGCACCTTCGCTAGAAAATGAGGTAAAGCATGTTGCATCTCCATCGGGGAGTGTTTCTGTAAAACTGCTTTTTCTAGATTTTCAGAATAGACATTTCCGTCTCGTCGGGGGGATTAGATTCTTATGTCCAAATTCCCAAGATTGTTGTCGATGAAGGAGGCATGACTAGTGTCCACTTAAACATCTCAGAAGTTGTGACTTTTTTAGAGATGCACGCAGGTTTTCGATCCCCCGTTATCCACATCTCCGCAGAAAACCCAAAACATGGGCGTTTATTTTTGCAAAATGACAGAGATAGTGGCCTTATGACCTTTACTCAACAACAGTTGGAATCCGGACAAGTATTTTACGAACATGATAACTCAGATACTCTCAGTGACGTTGTTATATTTTCATTGTATCTTGTACCGGGTTACATCATGCTTTGCAACTTAACGGCAAATATTACAGTAAACCCAATAAATGACCAGCCATTCAAGCTCGTCACTCCAGCCCCCAGCTTTTCAGTCGTTCAAGGCGAAAATCATACCATTTCCAGACAGGAATTATGTACTGAAGATGCAGACACGCCACCAAAAGATATCAAATATGATCTAGTTAATGGACCATCTAGCGGACGACTGCTGCTTATGCCTAATTTAGAGCCAGTTAACCATTTTACGCAGGCGGATGTAGATCAAAATCGTCTGATTTACCTACATGAAAGTGCAATGCTGAAGGATTCATTTCATCTGAGAATTTGGGATGAAAAGTTCAAGCCTGAATTCACTTTCTTCAATATAGTAGTAATTCCAGTTAATGTTACTATAAAACCAGGTTTACCGGTGCAAGTCAGACAAGGGACCAATGTCGGGTTTCTTAGTGATCAAAATATCTTTTTGGAAACCAATACTGACGCAGATAAAATTGTGTATGTTGTTTCGAAAGGTCCCAGACATGGAGTTATTTTCAAAGAAAACAATCAAACTACCAAATTCAGTCAAGTCGACTTATTTAGAAATCATGTGATGTATTTGCAGTTTGATACTACTGCTTCCAATGATTCATTCACTTTAACTGGCCAAGTAGGAGTGGGAAATCTTACCTTTAAGTACGACGTTCAACTTTACGTTGAAGTTAAACCCTTTATGCATATACATGAGTGTGTCGTAGTGGCAGGAAAAATTACCAAGCTCACTCTAAGCTTCTTAGATGCCACACCATTGGCTAAACTTACTGGAAGTAATCCCACATACACAATCAATTCAATTCCATCATTTTGCCAAATAAGGAAGATTATTAGAAGGTCTGGAGAGCGACGCCATGTTTTAGATACACTGGTAAAATCATTTACACATGAAGAAATTCAAGGAGGACTTATTCATTTAGATATCAAAAACATTGAGGTGCCACAAAAAGGCATAAGCGAGAAAGTGGTTTTTACTTTAATGGCAAGCATATTTCAACCTGCCGTGGGCGAGTTAAAAATTACTATTAGGCCAGAAAACAACGAAATATTTACAGTACTACCAGAGCCTAGCGATCCAGAGGGACATGAAGGCGATGTTTTACTAACTACTCCAAATATTACCAGGGATTACATCCTTATAGGTATGTACGTGATAGGTACGCATTATTTTTTACTAACATTTATTACATTTTCGCAGATCTAAAACAGTACTATAATGCTTGGGTGAAATTATTTTTGAGCCATTGCTTGTCATTTTATTTAATGTCTGTTTATTTCAGTAACAATAGTGCTAGCTATTGTAATCACAACTATAGTAGTCATAATAATTATCAAATGCAAGACAATGGAAAGAGACACTTCCCGCAAGGAAGAAATGGCTATGGGGCCACTGCCCAGGCCTCCAGATCGATTATTAGCATCACCAGTGAAATCACTAGCGCTAACGCCTCCACCGGCCGCCCCACCGCAATGTAAAGTGACCCCATTGGGTGTTACGGAATTTGATACGCCTTCTCCACATGTTGGTTACCCATATGGAGTTACAGACGAACTCCCAGATGATTGGAGTAGTGTTGACAATTCCTCAGATCAAGCTTCCAAAAGCATTATGCTTAGAAGAAATCAATATTGGGTCTGAACTATGCGTAGTTGGCGAGCGGCGGTTTATCGTGCTTTAATAACTTCCGGCACTTTAAATATATCTTGGCGAAAAATTTCTGATATTTTTAACCTGAACCAGTTGCAATTTTCGTATTATCTACATGCTTTTATACAAAAGGCACGCTTAGTTCTTTTATAGGAACACGCTCATTTATTTTTCATTACTAATAAAATGTTTCTATATGCACATCCAGGGTGATCCTGACCTAACGTAACAAAATTTCACCCTTATATTTTTTCTACGAAAATACTGCGACTTTGCGCTGTAATAAGATGACGCACTGTCTTTGATATAGGAAGTATCAGAGTAAAAATAAAACCTCGATTTCACATTTTTTTTATTGGTAACTATTTCTGAAGAACCATTATTCCATTCCATTATTTAAGACACTAATCTTTCCTCCTTTTATGCAAAAATGGAAATATTCTGCTTTAGTGCTGTGGATAATAAAACAGTAACTATGAAAATTAAACCGATGTAAAAAATTGAAAAGTAAATAAATAAATGAAAACTTGACGATCGTCTTGATATAAATATCATTTTTAGCTTTTAATTCTATTTAATTAAAAAAAAATCTTATTTTAATTTTCTTTTGCAATTTGGTCGTATTTAAAGATTGATTCATCATTTCCTCTTTGCTGCTAATGACCTTCGTTGGAATGAAATCAAATCTCCTAGCAGAATTGAAGTAAATTGGGGAGTATTTAATTAATTATTACTTCCTTTTAAGTTTTTTTAAGTTGAATAGAAATTTTGAATTGTGTCGAATCATATCAAACCAAAGATTTACGTATTTAGTTAAATGCTGCAATATTTTAAGCAACCAACGAATGAACGTACTCAAGTAAAAAGCTAGTCGCCGTGAACAAGCAATGTATAATTTTCATATTCGCTGTTGATTTCTATTTGCATATTTTCGTCGTTATCGTCTGTACTGCATATTCTAAACAGAAATAAATAGTGTTCAGTCCATAACAGAAATAAATTAAAACTTCAAAGACGAACATTTTGAAAGCTATGAAAGTTATGCACTTTACCAACTTTACCTATTTTTTTTTTTTTTTGAAGAAAATAAACTAGATAGTATAAGAAAAGCTGCCGTGCTTTAAAGTGCATAAAAGTTATTATAATTTAAACGCTTTTAGAATCCTGTCAAATGAAGTCAAAAAACCTGTGAAAATTTGTCGCAGTAGTACTATTTCTTTAAAAACACTCAACCCTCGATAACAAAAATTGTCTACTATCAGATAAATTTAGCTGAAGTAATATTTTTGCAGAAGGAATAAATTGATGAAAGTTGCGCATTAGGTAGAGCCCACCCTGTATATGGTTTAATCTTTAGTAATAAAGCAAGTAGGCGGGATTTTATCTGGAACCACAAAAATTAGAAAATCATAAGGATTTTATCCTTCGCTAGACTTCTTTGATTCAGTTAATTGGGTCAAATACAGGAGTGTTTGATCGATATTAATTGATGAATGTTTGATCCGATTGCATAAGATTAACTGTAACCAAAGAATTTTGGAAAAATGATTTTCTAAATTCGTTATACATTTGAAGAGCGTCAAAAAATATTACAGTTCAAATAGTGCCCAAAATTGGAACAATCCCGCCACTTTATTTATTCAATGGCTAGAATTTAATTCAACAATTAAATTTTGGTTTATGCAACAAATGTTTTCGACAACCAACACAAAGTATTCGCACTACGCAGTCCCATTTATTAAATTTCTAATGTTAAAGCTATCATTCGTTGAATTTTTCAGCGAACTCTGTTTTTATGCGTTTTATATAGTGCCAAATAATATAATACAGGGTGTATAAATATTTGTATCGTTTATTTAGTATGAAATTCCAGTTAACGTTTACCAGTGGCTGATTTTAAGCGAAATTTTTTAAGTACTTATCGCGATTAAGACAATATGATTATAAAAAGTGTAAATACGTGTTGGCATATCAAAATTTAAAAATGGTTCGCTGGAAATGTTGTCAATGATTTGCATCGCAAGTACTTAGTTTCTTGTTAAGTTTTTTTCATAGATTTAGGGCGTTATTTATTCAAGGTTGTATTTTTTCAATGACTGAAATAGATTATTGTGTAATAACTAGACCGTAAATCACGATGTTCACCACCTTGCAACTCTCCATATTTATGTGATATGAGGATTTGCTATGTGCAATATACCTTTTGCAAGTTGCAAATGTGGCAACCGTTATCTACTGGAATAGTTAACCATTTTTATAATTCGTTGATTACCTGACCTAAGAATAAGATGGTAATGTAATTAAATATTTGAGTTTTGAAGTTTTAGAATAATTTTTATACCATTTTATCAACTTGATAGTGTAAATTAATCTACGATCAAGATATTTTTGTACGCACTAAGTAACTCAAAATAAGAAACAAAAATATGTGACAACTTCCCGGGAGGAAAGTTCGTAGGTTAATTTAAACAAAATTATTTTTACCCCTACATTTTAAACTAAGTATACCATTCACAGTTATTATACATGTTTTACGGAATTAAAAAAAGGTTTGAAATATAAAGAGTGCGTACTTATTGTTTAAAGTTTAGTTAAGGTAACCAACCCTTAGGAAAGCAGAATTTCGTTAATAAATGCTTCCAGAGTGTTCATCTTAATGTATAAAGTTAGGATATTTAGGATAGGATTATTTTCGTTAACACTAGTTAACTTAAACTTTTAAAATCTTGCAAAAGTGTAGTGTTGCTTCGAAATCACCTAACGTTTTTTTTTTCGTCAGAAAACGCACATTCGTTTTGAATAACTACGAAAAGAAGTATATTTCTTAAAGGGAACACGAAAGGATGCAAAGCGAAAGTGTGAAAATGAAATCACCTCAGGGGCGGATCCAGCTTTAAAGTCAGGGGGGGAGGCATGTAGAAATTCAGCCTTTTGTTGTCTATGAAATTAGAAAAATTATCCTTAGTCTATATAAACCCAACACAAGGCCCGGGGGAGTGTCATGACCCCCATGACCCCACCCCTGGATCCGAGCCCTTGAATCACCTAACGTTTTTCTTCAGATAGAAAACGCATACGTTAGTTTCGTGAATTAATCCATTGAAAACAAGCATATTGCCTAAAAAAGTACACAACAAAATTTAACTTCCGGTACTTATTAAAGTCCGTTAATAGGAAGGGAAATTGAATATTTTAATTTCCTTGAAAAATATTTCAATAAATAAATAAAAATCAATCAATATTTTAATTGAAATATTTTTCGAGAATAATCAAAAGCAACTTAATATTAAACATAAATTTTATATTAATCTGATATTAAAAGCGATTTGAAAGAAAACGAAAATCATTACAAAAACCCGTGTTGTTTAGAGAAAATTATGAACATCCGAGATTTTTTTTTTCGCTGAAACTGCATAATTTTTTTTCAATTTTGAGTGTTCTTTAAGGTAAAACAGCAAAAAACAAAAAAATCGGAAGTACTCAAACGACATGCTCACCATCTTTCTCTATCGGTTCTTTACTGCATTAACTTTTGTGTCATACAGAAACGCGTCGCTTTTGTTTAATATTCTGTGGTTTTCTTAACGTAGATCACTCCACGTTCTGTCAAACAGCGAGATTGCGCACTCTGTGTAAAAAGTGGTTTGTTTTGCGAACATCGAGTGTTTATTATTCAGTGAGGTTTTCTAGTTTTTCTTTATTTTGTATATTAAAATGTAGAAATAGCCGAAACAATGTGGCCAAAAATTGCTATCGGGGTGGTTGCCTTCAAGATTATGTGTAGTGTCGTTAACGCTTCCAGTTCCACTAACGACAGAATTCAGTCCTTACCGTACTGCCCCAACAAAAACGGTTCTGGGTAATATATAAATATATGAGAATATTCTTAAGATCAACTAATTTTTCATACAAATGCTATATATTTATAGGGCACTACTAGTAAGTACTTTAGATGGAAAACTTTCCTCTATAAATTCATCTGGACATTTATCATGGGAGATTGAAACAGGCCCTGGTCCACTATTAGTTTCTAATATCCATAAACTTGAGGTAAATGCATTTAGACTTTGGTTGAAGCCACTTTTTGCATTATTTCCTTTTCAGCTCACTAATAATGGAGAATGGATACGAATCATACCATCACTAACTGGCACATTATATAAGTTCGATGGAAATACAATTGATCCTATTTCGATTTCCGCAGAGACTTTACTTAGATCCTCGTTCAGATATTCTGATGACCTTGTTATTGCCGGTATATATTTGACGAAATAATAAATTATACGTTGATAAATCGCACTTTTCACTTAAATTTTAGGGGGTATTGAGGTTCGTACTTATGGAGTCGGTTTTCAATCTGGGAAGCTATTATATGAATGTTCCCAAAGCAAATGCTCAAATCATCAAAGGGAAGAAATGGATGACGTGGTCGTAATTGAACGAAGTACTCAAATTATTCGAGCAGTTGAACCTAGAACCGGCCACGAGAGGTTCATTTTTACCCATGTTTTTATTACTTAACTGCCCGAATTCAATCTGAAATTGTTGTTTTAGATGGAACTTCAGTGTAGGCCTTCACAATGTCAAGTTGCCCCAAGTGTCTTGTATAGACACAAAGCTATTCGATTCAAATGTTAGTGCTGTTATTCCCGAAGGCCTTCTCTTAGTTTCTTCAAAGAGAAATAATCTTGAAGAACACATCTGGCAATATAAGTTCCATTCACCTATAGTCAGAGTGTGGAAATGGGATGGTATGCACCTGAATGAAGTTAACTTATTTGAACCCAGAAATATGCCTGGTCTTATTACACAGTCTACCATATTGCCATCAATATATATCGGAATGCATAAGAAGCAGGTATTCTTATCCAATCATGACGTACTTCTTTACATTTAATTGAAACATTTTGATTTTTTTGGTGCAGTTATACATTCACGAGTCTCATCAAATGCAGCATGTATTACAAGAACGACATAATACAGACCTAGTACCTGCTGAAAGCAACAGTATTACAAAAATTCCGTGGAAACCAATTTCTGCATCTTCACAATCGACAGAAGACGATTCTACTGCATTATCTGTCTTGAACAATTCTGAATACGTTAATGGAAATGGTTATTATTTATATTCTGAGCATGCTCTCGAAGAGAAGAACTCCGCTCACTGTCCGCAAAATCAGAGTAATCTTATTGAATCTGTAATTATTACAGAAGAGAGCAGCTATTCCAACGTATTTCTTTTCCTGCGCAGTTACACCCGATACTAGTAAGTATAGATTGAATGAATAAATTTTTATTGGTGTTGTTTATGGAACACCCTGATAAGTTATATTTGATATATACAGGATGGCCCGCAATTAGGTTATTAGTTGGGGCATAATTTTTACTGGATATTTACGACCAAAAATAAGAGAATACACCGTGTCACAGGTTTACATATTTTTCATTCTTTTCTCCACAGTTCCTAGTGCGTGTGAGGTAATTTTTTCAAACTTCTGATTATATGTTTTACTTACTAGACTCTCCATCTTTAGTTATACCAATTGATTGTGTCAATGCACAGACGGTCCTTTTTTTAGTTTTTTGTCGCGTGTACTCTCCTAATTTTTGTGGAGCGTCGTTGGTATTTTTTTTTCATAATTTTTTAAAATTTGAATTTTCTTTTCAGTTTGGAAAAGGTTTTGCTTTCTACAATGCTTTATGTCAACTATGATTCTTTAATAATGCGAAAACAGTCCTAAACGGACACCATATCTTGGGGTGTGTCTAACACGGGAATTTTTATGCAATTTTGATAGGGTTGCTAGTCAATGAGCTTGTGTTTTGAAGCAAATGGTCAACTATTTCAGCATTTATGGTCACCTGCAATATAAACTTACTAATAGTTATTCGATGAAGAAACTTCTTCATATGGGAGAAAGCCTGATACGGAAAAATCCCAAGTAATTTTTTTGGTTTAATTGTCCTAATTGTAAGACGGAACAAAATTGCAAAAAAACTACCAATTATAGTTTTTTCTAATTCAACTGTAATCAACAAACAGCCTATTGAACACGCCCCTGAAAATACTGTATTCAGTTAATTAAAACCGTGACGCTCGTTTTACATATTAATAACAGGATGACGCAAAAATCATTCGTTCTGGAACATATGTTTTTAATGCAAAAAACAATTGTTTTTATGTTCCCTACTACCCCTAAAAGTTTGTCGGTATGCTTCAGAACACCCTGTATATGGAAAAGTTTAACGTGTGATGTTTATTTTCAGCAAAGAATGTCTGCTGATGCTTTTAACACTTGTTGTAAGCCCCTTTTTGGTCCGACTTTGGAACAAGCGTCCTTTCAAAAACCAAGAAGTAGTAATATTGGATACTATGGTTGAGAATCCTGTTGAAACCACCATAATTGACGTGCCAAATGTAACTCGACCTGAGAGACAAATTTCTGAAAGGAGCTCTGAAGGATTCAGTTCGAGATTTATGGATGATTTTACGTTGATTCAGTGTCTAGGAAAAGGCGGGTTTGGAGTGGTATTTCAAGTTAAGCAAAAGTATGATGATTGTGATTATGCCATAAAAAGGATTACACTACCAAATGAGTATGTATGTGAATGCTGTTTTTGTCAGAAAATTACAGATTTTTGCTTTGTTTAGAGAAAAATCGAGAAATATGGTAATGAGAGAAGTGAAAGCCTTAGCAAAGCTAGACCATAAGAATATTATAAGATATTTTTCTTCTTGGGTCGAGCATCCTCCACAGGGCTGGGAACAAGAACATGATAAAAACTGGATCGAGTAAGTCTTTTGCACTGTCGACTATTCATTGGTTTCAAAAATACCGCGGTTTTTAGAGCTTCATATTCCGGTATAGCAACCTCAACCGAATCAACTACTACTTCTCCGCAAAAGCGAATGAAGTCATGTTCCGTGAGCATTGATATACCTTTAATGAAAGTCGAAGAGCCCAGTTTTGACAGTGACCGTGACAACTCCAGCGGGGACGAATCTTTTGTAGTGTTCGAGAGTGATGAGTCAGTTAAAGCAGCTGATGACACGAAAATATCACTTAAAGATGATGATTCTTTTATTGTTTTCGCTGATGAAAGTAATGAAAATTCTGCAAATAGCAGCAATAATACTATTTCAGTCGATGATAATAGTACTGCAAGCAAAACTGGTGAAGCAAGAGAAGACTCACGTTTTTCATCAAGTCATACCGAAAAGAAAATAAATTGGAAAAGGCCTGGACGGAAACACCATTCCTTGGATTTGACACAGACTAACCCAATTCTAATTAGGCAAAAAGAACCGCCGATGTATTTATACATTCAAATGCAACTTTGCCGAAAAGAGAGTCTGAAAGAATGGCTTACCCTACATACAAATCGAAATTACGGAGATATGTTGCTGATTTTTTTGCAAATTTTAGATGCAGTAGAATATGTTCATTTGAGAAAGCTGATTCATCGGGATCTAAAGGTAAGCAAAGTTTATGAGTCATTTGTTTTTCGATTGATAAGATATTATCTAAAAGTCCTGCTTACGACGTGTCCTTGATATTATGTTTATAGGTATGCAAAAACATTTGTGATTGTTGAAATGGATGATTAATGTATTGTTTCAAATATGACATAGACGTGCTAAATTGGAAATTATTTTGACTTTCTGGTCACATCTGAGAAAATACCAATTAAGAGCGAAGTATTTCTACTTTCTACAGAACTTCTCATTTTTATCTTCCTTTTTTATTACCGGCAAAAATTATTTTCAAACTTATTACCCGAAAACCGTTGTGGGTAATAAGTTTCATTTTAATGTACAATTAAAAAATCTGCACTTGCTTTCATCAATGTACATTTAGTTTTAACATTTTTAAGCATACTGGTTCTTTAATTATTCCTTCAATTTCAGCCAAGCAATATATTTTTCTCATTAGATGGGCAAATTAAGGTGGGAGATTTTGGACTCGTAAAAGATATTGAAAGCTCTTTTGATTTGGAGTTAAGTAGAATATCTGGCGCTGCTTCTTATAGAGGTCATACAAAAGAAGTTGGGACCACTTTATATATGAGTCCCGAACAATCTAATGGTAGAATATATGATTATAAAGTTGATATATACTCGCTGGGTATTATATTGTTTGAATTATTGGTGCCATTTACAACTGATATGGAACGAATTAAAACCTTAACAGACATCAAAGTCAAAAAGTTTCCCTATGGGTTTGAAGATAAATACCCTTCAGAGGTTAGTTCATATACATTTTCCATTATTGGAAATTTAGTTCAATGACTATATTTTTTTAGTTTGCGCTCTTGCAGAACATGCTAGACATAGATCCCAATAAAAGACTAACAACTATTGGAATCAGAGCAAGAAATCCATTCGCTCAAAATGATAATGTTATAACAGATGACCAACATTTTAGTATTAAAAAATTCCATAAAAACTGAATTGTTAACTCAACTTTTACCTTTGTTTTGTTCTAAAGGTGATGTTGAGGCAACAGATTTAACAGGTTAAATATCCGTTTTTTTATGTGGATAATAATTTCACTAACTGATTTTGTTTTTTGCTCAAATGCGACAATGTTTATTTTTTTCGTGGAAAATGTGATTCCTAATTAATAATAGTAACTATTCTTATGTAGTTAGTGGTCTATTGCAAAGTACACTATTTCTAATGCCTATTATTTTAAGTGTTCATTTGACTGTTTAAGTAGTATAAGGCAATTTGCAAAATGTGATACTGGAGGTAAGGCTTCATTTCCTCTAAGTGTTTAATCTAGTTTACACTTTTATTATATGTATCCTCATACCAAGTTGTCTTACCCCAATTTATTACATAAAGAAAAGCTACTTTTTAAATTGTGTTTTTGTACTTTCCATTCCAATTTGGCTCTATCGTGACTTTAAATCGATATGGATGCCCGATCGTATACAGTATTTGATGTATGTCTAAATAATTGTCATTACATTATTTCAATTGTGTTATTTTTGTGGTGGCAAAACTTCAGTCAAATTATGAAACAAATAAAAGAAAAAAATAGGAATGATCGCAAAGGCAATAAACAAGTCCACTTACCTTTAGGTCTTTTAATCTGGATTCTCGGCTTTTTATCTTTGAAGACAGTAAAAAGTTTAATCAACAGCAAAAGAAATAGTAATGTGGATATCTATCTTGGAAAGCCAATCTAAGGTGTGTTCACAAAAAAATAGCATAATTTTACATAAAAAATTCGGACCAGATCTATTGCGTTTATTTTGAGGTGTAATTCACAGAAAAAAACATCAACAATGACAGAAATTACCGATAATCAAACGTTATGACATTTATATTATAAGATTTCATATAAAACAAGTACTATAGAAAAGGCCGTCTGTTAACGTATAATATCCGACTTTAAATTAGATTTACAGAAATAAAATTTGGAAATTTAAAAAACCGATTCCAGAAGACCGTTCGTCGTTGCTCGTTGAATAAATGTTACATGCAACAATATCATAGATAAAACTAAAAGCGATCTACATGGCAACCAAGGGTGGTAAAATAATGCCAAACTTACCGAAACCTGCATCGTGCCACCTGGAAGGAAAGAAAAGTATTCTTTATCATAAAATAAATTTAATCCAAAGCATATATTTATGCATCAGCAAAGGAAAGAATTAGAGAATGCAGTAAAAGTTCAGTTGCTTCTCGAAAAATTAAAATCAGTTCAAGCTAACGGTTTTACGTATAGAGACACTTACCCGCATTGCGCAAGCTGGCGCTCCATTTTCCAGCCATTATTCCTCAAAAAGCACAATCCAACACACAATAAACATCCACACCAAATACTTGAAACTGAAATCTTCATAACACTTCAATAAGCTGTTAACGGGAAGATGATTCACCGCATTTGCCTTAGAAGAACCGCATCAAATCACGCCCTCAAATATATTTCCCCGTCCAAATAACCGACGACCAAACTTGTTGATTACCCGCAGACATCTGAATATTTAGTCAGATTTTCAAAAAAAAAACATGCGATATTGATGTATTTACTACATTCCTGGTGTACCGAGCTACAGAACTAACATGATGATATAATTGTTTTTTAAATGTGGCATTGCTTTGCTTTGCTGTTTGATGTGCGTTCAGTTTTTTTTATTGTCGCCTATGTAGGGTTTCATTTCATACGGAAATACTTTCAAAGGCACGTTTCACGTTCCAATTTGTTTGGATGATCGCCGTAAACAAACCAGCTTTCTCAGCTACAGATAAACATATTCTGTCTTGAAGCCCGTTAGACTTTTTATGCTAAATATTAAATGCTAGCTAGATCCATCTTTTCCTCGATTTTTGTTACTTTGGTCCTCTTCAGTTGGATATTTTGTGCAGTGGCAGCCTACATGGCAGGTCCACATTTGAAACAGGCCATGATTTGGAAAAACTGCTCTTTGCTGGCACCCTTAAGGGCCACCTAATACGCCAACTTGAATTTTACACGAGCTCTTGTATTAGCCTTTTGTTTCAGAAGAAAAGGTGAATGCAGAGCAGACCCACAGTCAAACCTAGTCATGATTCGTGAATGCATTTCGCTGCTTGCATCGAGACGAGCAAAGAGCGATAGACGCAACTTACTTGGTTCCTTATGTTCGGTAGCCGGACATGCTGTATCATAGATGAAGACAACTATGCTGTATTACAGTCCAAAGCAATTTTCCTCCAGGCAGGTTGTTTTTGTTGGGGGATACCGGTTCCGTTTTCATTTTCGCCTATGTTTCAGATGATGTTGAAATTATATTTAAAACCGTCACTTTCATTGTTCGGAAATTCTTACTTCTTGCTTTTCTACCTATTTTTTTTTAATTAATAATGTTCACTGACAACTATCACTCACGAGCTTTGACATTTTTTCAATTTTTTTACGCGTCATTGGAATCTGTCAACTTATTTTCAGAAGCATTGCAGCAACTGGTAAAGATTTCAAATGCACTCTTTCAAAGTTAATTCAAAATAGTCCTTCAATTTATTTTAGAAAACTGTTCCACAAATCGACGGCACTAAATATAAATTTTCGAACAGCGCGACTAAGTCAAAAACTGTCAAAATATCCGGGGTTGCGCCTGTGTCCCATGCATTCGTTTATATGAGTGTTTCTATTGGTTAGAGATCTGTCAATTCGTCCGCCGTCGTACGAACTGACAGATCTCCAACCAATAGAAACACTCGTATCACCGTACCATCGTATAAACGGACGCATGGGACACGGGCTTTAGGGTTAAGCAACGCGGTCAATCAACTTTTCGCAGTTTTACAATGGAGTCGCATTAAGCCAGCTTTTTTAAAACGAGACACAAATTAAATTTTGGTGGTGCAAGCACAGTGAATTTAAGCCCCGCTGTTTTTTTTAAATCCAGGCTTGGTAAACATTGACTTCTAAGTTGGTCGCTTCAAGTGAGCCTAAAAGTATCGAAGCCATTTTTTTAACGAAATATTTTTCCATCTTAGTTTATAAATCAAACACCATAACTTTCCCCGTAAAATCATACCGTTAAATATTCACAAATTAATGAAGATCACGTGTTATTGAAAATAGATTCAAATGCTCTAATGGCGAGTATCTGTGGTTGTCTAAGGCACATTTCTGAGATTCACTTGTTTTGGTTTGTTGGTGACGAAGTTCGAACTGTATCATATAGCCTCTAACACAAAAACCGTAATATTTCCATATATACCCTGATTATATGTACAATAAACTCTGACTTCTTATTTTCAACTACCAGTACATAGATAATAAATAAATGTCCAATCAGGACGAATCTTTGATCAGGCGCTTTGAGTTGGAAGTTAATAGATGTAACGCTAGAATTAATAAAATTTAAATTTACAATGTTCAGTCAATTCAATCACTAGTAACTACTGCATTGAAAACGTTGCCATCTTCATTCACCAAAATTTTAATAAGTCAAGAGTCGCGAGACAGTTATTTTAAAAAACAATGTTGGGATTATTTCTCCACACTCATCCGATTCGATTTTGAGGTTGAAACTGTGCCCTTAGAGGAACAACAAGTATTTACAAGCCGAACCAAAATATTACTTGAGCTAACACCCAAATAATACTATTTACTTCAATATGTCAATACTGGTTTTATTGCTTGTAATATTTACAAAACAAAACAATACTTATACTTTCACTTAATAAAACATAAAAAATACTGTCTTAAATCACTAAAGGGTAACAAACTAAATATCACATAAAGTTGCAATGACTATTCAGCAGACCTTGCTGGGGACTGATGGTCGACAAGTTGAACATCTCTTTTGTTAGGCACTCTGAGGTTCACTATTTTTCGTACTTTTTCTGAACCATGTATCAAATCTTTTTTACTTCTCCATTCTGCTCGCTTTAGTTCTTCCTTCCGCCTCTTTTTGTCTACGAAGCTAATTATACAGCTAGCTGGTATCCAAAGAACTGCTGTTATTAACACAACAGTACCAACAATATTGTCTCGTAGAAAGAGCATTACTTTATTGATGTTGATATCTTCAATGATATCCCAGAAGCGTTCTACAACATCCTGCACTGTTTTTTCGCAATTTCCCTAAAATGTTATACCTACATTATTACCTATCTCCCTGTTGCTAAAACATGCATATAATAGAGCAGCCTAAAGAAGATCTACATATTAAATAAGTAAAGATGAAGCAGTTCATTGTTTCATATGTTCTGAGACACTGTATAATAAGACATGGCAAATACGTTTATTATACTTAATAGTCCAAGTGGAAGATACATAATAAACCTGAAGTCAAAAGTAGGCAACATTCGCGGCTAAACAATTGCCAGTAGTTTGGTTCATTTATGCAGAAATGTGACAAACAAAATTTAATTAGCAGTGATGTTCACGGACTAACGTTTGCAACGGACAGAGGATATGAAGAAAAGGCGATATTAATTAAATTAAATGCACTTACACTATTGCAAAATCCTTGAATGCAAGGAGTTCCATCCGCTAAAATATCAGCGGAATCCACTGGAGAGCAAGTTTCGTTGATACTCGATCTGCAACATCTTTTGCAAGCGTTCTCAACTAAAAACACAAATATGAACCAAACGTCAATAAAAACCATATCATTTTTCGTACTGATGTCACACATGCAGCTTTGCATGCCTTGGGTTTCGCAAAAGGGAATGCATTTACCACCTTTACACTTCCCTCGCTCTTGACAATCTGTACCATCCGACATTGGTGGACTTTTCGGACATTCAGATGAATGCCCGGTACATGTAGATTCTTTTTCGCAAGTAGCGTATTGAGCTTCACGACATTTAACTCCACTCCGCATGTATTGACAATTTTGGCAACAGGGAGAGTTCTTATCGCTAGAAATTATTGCATATTTTCACTTCCTGAAGATCTAGTTATCTTTTCAATTTACCTGCACATAGCTTTGATGCGCAATTTACAATCTTTGTCGCAACATGCGTCATTATCTTCAGTTCCTAAAAGACCTGCATCACATTCCTCATCACCCTCAACTCTTAAATTGCCACAGAAACTCTCCTCGGGTTCAGAGAAGCACTTTTCTGATTTAGCTTGAAGAACTTTTCTTATAGATCTCAAACTACATGGGGAAAACCTCTGCAAATATTAATGCACTGATTTAAGCTGTGTGATTTCTTGTGCTTATGCTTGTGGCTATATTCAAAGTAAATAATTTTGATTGTCTTCATATAGCAGATATTGATCTTATTTAAAACGCTTCATAGAAATAGTTTATAGTTGGTAGAAGTCCTTAGGATATATATAGGATTATCAGCATAACTATTTATGTTGCAAAATATTTTAAATGCACAAGTTTGAAAATTAAACTTAATTTATAACTTGTGAAGTCGCCAACATCACCGGTAACCCAAGATAAACGTGGTATCTTTACCTAAAAGTCGGTAATTTAAAAAATACTTACTTTGTTATTGACATCATACCCACTAACACTGTACGTGTACATTAAATAAGAACCCCCTTGACTAGCGCTGGGAGAACACTCTGGAATGTCCGGATCATGTTCCGATCCCCAGTTATGGCCAAACTCATGAGCTGTAACTAAATCAGCTTCACGAGTAATCACTCTTTGACCATAGTGATTCCTACTTGAGCTCAATCCGGAATTAAGATAAAGAGTATATCCATTTTTGAAATATTCTAAAAAAAAGTTATTAGTTTTCATTAGGTCATTATTTTGGTCTGGACCCCAATTATCAAGATAGTACCTGCATGTCTGAGAAGTTGAGCACAAAATGTATGTGACTTTAGACAGAGCAAACCCGAGAGCAGCACTTGTATAAATTTAGAAGTCAAAAAACACTTTTTGTCGGTGAAGTTACAAGCGGAACAATGCAGTTTGAAAAAGAAGAATCCCACTACATAAAGATCAACGGGTCACAATGAGAAAATCCAATCACAATTTTACGAGAATCCGAGCATGCCTGGGATAGTAATTTTGCATCACAGAAAACGCTCACCTTCTGGTTGAAATAAACATTCTCAAACAACGCATTATGTAGAGAAGATCGGGAGCTTCCTAAATAAGGAATCCTGCTACTGTATTTATTGGTTGCTTCGTTTTATCATGCTCACTTATCATAAATTGAGAGACCGCTCGACGCCCCATTAGGAAAAGCTATTTTCTTAATGGAGTGTCATAATTCATATCATACCCCAATTATTTTGAGTTGTTAAACACGATACACATAAACATACAAATTTGTAGCTAACTTTCATAGTTGGAAGGTTTAGTTACAAACAATTAATTCGATCAGGATACTTCAATTATTTAAACTTTTTAATTTGAATGAATTAATGTGTAACCATAAGAGCTTCGGTGCTTTATTGCTACGATAAAGTTTGAAGGAAATAATTTTGTGCCAAAACCTTTGAGACATACGATCGATTAAACAAAAATTACAAAATAACTAACTCAAATTTGATGCAAAACAGAGGTATTTAGGATAGGAGAAACTCAAAAGTAACAAACTAAATCTACAACAACCACAATCAAAATCAAAAGTTGATATGCATTCAAATATATACCTGGAGTACAAATACCACCAACCGAATTTCTTCTAGGAGAACCCACATAAGCAAGACCCAAAATACCACCTTCAAATTTAAGGTCTGTAAATAGATGTGCTAAGCAAAAATCCTTATGAGTGAATTCCCTGCTAAACACCTTGAAGTAGCAGAATAGAACAAGTTAATGTATTAAATATGCAAGAAAATCTCTTTCATTAAGAGTCAACTAGTTGCCCACCACCAAGTAAGAGAAAATAAATCAGACTTCTACATAAAACCACCCAAAATAAACGTAACAAATAAGAAACCATATAATAAAAAAATAATAATAACCATTGCTACAAATGCCTCCTTGTGAATTTTGTCTTGGTGAGGCTATATAAGCGAGTCCTAATACTACAGAATTTCTAGTTTTAAATGTTTGGTGTGTAAATAGGTGCGCTAAGCAGTACTGTTCCTCTTGTCGTGATCTAGAAAACTCCTTTAAAAAGAAGACATCATTACCAAAACAATAAATATATGACTTTATATAAGATTTTATAAATGCTTACTATTGCTAGAAATAATTAGAGCTGACCAACAAAATGTTGTATTCAAATATAAGTTAACTTAAGATTCTATTTTGAATTTTAAAGTGATTATTTGGAATTAACTGAAGATTTAAATAAAAATATTTTAGACAAGTCTAAATCGCTTACCTCTAAAAGGTTCCTAACGTCCCATTTGTCACGTATCATATTATAGTGAGCCTCCTGAGATTTAGTTTTAGACGGTTCGCTATGAACAACTATTTTTTTAATTACAAATCCCATTCCTTTGAAGCCATCTACTTCCTGCCGATCTTGCCATATTGTATCATTGTATATTTTATGAACCCTATCAATGAGGCTTATCTGAAATTTCAGAGATATCTATCAAGCATCCAAAATTCTAAGAGATATTCAAATTTTGAAGCAAAAAGAGACCTAACATGTGCACGATATTGCTACTAACCGCATCCATTTGAAGCATGGATTAGGCTTTTTCAAAAATCTCGTAGGCTTCTTGATGCGTGAATTATAAGATTATTATTTAAATTCGGATAAAATATTATAATTTTTTATCCAAAAGGGTTTATGTATGGTATCGCTTTGCAATTGCTTTACTTATTTTGTAGAATAATTCTTCGCGGATTTTAATGTTATTATATAATAATTGTTTGGTTATAAGTGTCGGGGATGCGTATATGCGCTACTTCTTCAATACATCCCACGGTCGGTGGCAAACCAGAATAGAAAGGAGTTTCCACAGCAAAAACGAGGCAGCCCTACTTTTCTCAGTATGCTCACTTATTACGTGTCCAAGATCTTATGCATCAGCCCGGTATATCCAAAAGAAATAGAAATATACCTTACCAGATAATTTATAGTGGTTTTTGTGTTGCTAGCGCCCATTTCCTGAAAGAACCTATAATCAGCCACCAAAAGCAAAGGACAGCGAGTCTTGGTAAATCTATATTGGTCATATTGATCCAACTGCCTTTTCTCGATATGGTGTGCAGTTTCATTTTCCTCCATTTCAGAACCTTCCTTAATATAAGCACAGGTGCGTGGAGTGGGGTAATCAGCCGGCAAATTCTCAGCGTCCCAACTAAACTTTATATCTGATTGTTTGTACGTAATCATTGTTCTATTATCATGGCCTGGAATATGGCGCCAAGAAGGCTGTAAATCATGGAGCGTTGGTATAACCAGTTTAAAAAATGTATCTCTTTATGAGGTACCTCAATGTGGTATATATCATCAGGCATGTGAATGTTTCCTGTCATTACCCCGTCTTCTACATGCATATTTACATGAGAATCTGTCTCTCCAAATACTCTTCCTTCCATAAAACTGCCATGATCTAGAATTTATTGTTTCTCCTACAATTAGCTACTTACTTATTTTACACTATAGGGAACACAACTGCACCATAACTGATTATTCTAATGCTAAGGCTAGAACGGATATTTCAATCTACTCGTAAAGGAAATAATAATTATTTCCATTTATCTTTGATAGATCAATATGTACAATCATTGATACGAATTGTCGCATCGATCGTGGATGAAAATCGCCATCATAACGAATAGTACTTTACTTTTTGTGTTCTGTGTTGATTGAATCCAACACTTCACATAAAAGTTGAATCAATAATTACAAAAAGCAAGGATTTAATTACCAATAGGCACATGGGTCTCCTGTCCATCCCCATTTACTGAGTAAGCCTTAAACTTAGAATGTAAAATACTTCGTTTCGGGGAAAGTATTAATCGAAAATCTCTTCCATGAGTATTGAGTCGAATTTCTCTGATTTTGTTAAATGGATGATTGCTTTGTTGTATACCACGTTTAATAATTTTGTGACTCAAGTCATCTGCGTGGATAATTTGGAAGTATCTGAGATTTTTGTGTATTGTTCCTAGAAAAAAATAACATGTATCAGCTAACAAAGGATAATGACAATGAAATACATACCATAGACTAGAATAACTTGCGTAAAAAGCAAGATATATAAAAACATCTGTCTGCCCATAGTTCTAGAACTGATTATCTACTCATAGATATCTGCGAGGGTTTCAAATTCATAGAAAAACTTTGATTACAATAAAGTAAAATCAGTTAGTTACAAACAAAACCTGACAGTTCGGTTCACAATAATAAACAAATCCACTTCAGCTGACGTCATGACGGATTGGAAGTACCGACCGAGACAGAATAATAAGTAAACTAGCTAGTAGCGAAAGCTCGAAGGTTTTTTTTCGTTTCAGGTTTAAATTAATAATAATAATAAATTTAATTTAATCAATCTATATATAAAATAATGATCTCAAAATTTCTTGTCTATGAAAGCTCTTACATTTATAGTCAGTATTACATTAATAAAAATATTTAAATTTTCAGAAAATCAGTCAATTTTTTAGAGTGTTAAAAATTTCCACCAGATAAAATGTTAAATATTATAGATGAACATTATTTGTTAACAAGTTTCTTTGAACATGTGAAATATTTTAATTGGTGATCAAGCTGACTCCGCGACCATCTCAAATCACATACGAACTTGAACCGTACCCTCTGAAAGGAAGGAGGCCTGAACCATACAAGCCTAATATAGTTCGCCTCACCTTGGAGGTGAGAAAATTATTTTTTGTACTGGGTAGACAGCAAAACATGTATTTACTACATGAGCCGCTTTCATAGTATAACTCATAAATCTAGAGTAAAATATATTTTTGATATAAAATGGATATTGAAATTGATGCTGTATGTATTTTTTTAGACATATATGTTTGTATATTAATATACCACCTAATCTTTGTCACAGATGTGATCTCTGTGATGGTAGTTTGTAAACAGAGACAATTAATTACTAGAGTCTAAAGGGAGCACAGGGAGATTCTAAAATATTCGAATAAATAGGAGAAAAAAATCTAAAAAACACCACAAAACATTCAACGGTCACTTCATCACAGAGGTTATGTCTGTGAACCGTGTGACAGACCATAGATAAGAGATAGCACTGATAGCAGATATGAGACGGCAAGTATGACGTCAGTTCAAGACGGCCTAACGTGTTAGAGCAGACAGTCCAAGCACTACTTGTCTTTATCTATGAGTCCAAGCCTCTAATTTTTCCGTAACTGCGAGTGAACATGTGAGTGAGACGAAGTGAAAAATATTTTGTGCAGTCTTGTTCATTTGAGTCAAAGAAAACTATTGATTCATTGAGTTTCAATTGTCAACAGAATGGACTCTGCTGTTTGTATATTTATAATTTGATTGGCCAAATGGTTGTTTGAAATTAGTTAAAGCAGCGTGGGGTGGTGTTCACAGTGTTAAAAGGATTGTTATTTTTAGTTTATCCAAACTAAGGTTATGTCATTCATTAAATTGCAATCATTTTAAGGTAGGCTGATATGTTATATATTATCCAGTATTCAGTCTCGTATCAGTTATTCAAATTTAAAGAAATCATTGTAGGAAACAATCTGTTCAATATAAAATTACTGTTTGCAAACGTTCGATTCAGTGAGTTTCACTGACAGAATTCAAATCACAAGTAATAACTTACATATTTTTATGCCCATTCTTTCTAAAGGAGCCTAGACTATTAGCTGAGCGTACTTAAAATATCAGACATTAATTAATTACGTGCTACTGAAATAGACAACAAAGTCGTAGTATCATAACAAAATCAGCTGCGTCTCCGTTACCTGTTCAACTAAATTTGGCATTTTTTTGTCGCTACTGAGTAGTTAATACTCAGTTAAAACTACCTAAAAAATTTTACATGTTAACCAATGTTTACTGTCTCATTTATCAATAACGTTCTTTTATTTATCACCTATTAATTATTTAGTTTAATTACATTATTTAGTTTTTACCTTTTTGTTAATTTTCATTAATTTTTAATGTTTCTGTAGTGATTAATATGGCAGGATTAGCTGCCAACGCTCCATCTTCCGCAGATGCTTGTCTTAGCATTGTCCACAGCTTGATGTGTCATCGACAGGGGGGCGAATGTGAAGGATTTGCTAAAAGAGCAATTGAATCATTAGTAAAAAAATTGAAAGAGAAGAGAGATGAACTTGATTCACTAATTACTGCGATTACTACTAGTGGAGCTCATCCAAGCAAATGTGTCACGATTCAGAGAACATTAGATGGGAGGTTACAAGTAGCTGGACGGAAAGGTGGGTCGGTACTTAATCATATTTTTCCTCGAATGACCTCGAAAACTCTTTGCAGGTTTTCCGCATGTGATTTATGCCAGAATTTGGAGATGGCCAGATCTCCACAAAAATGAACTCAAGCACATTAAATACTGCCAGTTTGCTTTTGATTTGAAGTGTGACTCAGTATGTGTAAATCCATATCACTATGAAAGAGTGGTTTCTCCTGGAATAGATCTCTCAGGGCTTACTTTACAAACTGGAGCTCCTCGAATGAAAGATGAGTACAGTACAGGAACTGTGGCAGCAGCTTCTATGGATGTAGATGGAGATCTAGGTATGGGGGTATCTCAAACTGTACAGCACCATCCTCCTCAACAAAATTTCAATTTGGCCCCAATGCAGGCTTCATCAAGTAAGTTTTGTTTAAACATTACTTTTTGTTATTTCAATTGGCTTACATGATTGATTGGTAGGAGTGTCTCACGTTGAGTATGATAAGTTAAAGAGCATGAAATATCCAAATATATTTTCTATAGCTGATTTAGCACCGATGCAAATAAAACGTTAACAAACACGCGGGCTAGGCTTGAAGACAATTGTCTTCATTATATGCTTGTCCACTGCACATGTTGCTTTTTCAAGGGTCTAAATACTATACTAGTTCAAAACATCCCTAATAATAATAATAGTAATACTAAATTGTTATAAATAATAGAAATAATCAACTTAATTAATAATCCAATTAAAGCGATCCCTTTTGGATGAATTTCAATTTTCAATTTCTTTAATTCTATTCGGAAGACTGTTGAAAATTTTATGCTGTAGTAAGGCTCGCATTTGTACAATTTTATACTGTGCTTAGGCATTGCATAGTTAGCTGTTCTTGTTGCATAGTGATTGTGATACACAGCTTTGAATAGTGTTCTGTTCTTACACATCCATAGTACACATTTCGGTATGTAAATAGCAGTAGCAGTGAGAAAGTCAATTTGCTTAAATTCACTTCCATCCACTGCAATAATTTCACATTCTGAAAAATGAGCCACAATATCATCAGAAAAATGCGATATTTGCGACAGAAGAGCACCACTTCAGATTTCAGTACTAAATTTCCAATACACATGCATGACCAAATCCAGTGACTTTTTACTGAGGTGCTTTACTTTACTCTGCGAGATTTTGAGGAAACCAGATTCAGATTTCAGTACCAGATTTCAGTACCAAATTTCCAATACACATGCATGACCAAATCCAGTGACTTTTTACTGAGGTGCTTTACTTTACTCTGCGAGATTTTGAGGAAACCAAGATTGAAGTTGCTGGATTTAATCAAAATTTAGTGTTGAGTTTGGCTGCGGGTACTAACTGTAAGTTCACGGGCCAGTACTTTTTGACTGGATAGAATATTTCCGATTTGCTTTAGAATGTGGAATATTCCCGAAAAATCTTTCAGAAAAAATCGTAATGACCTTTGAAGGAGTCGGTCGATTTGTCATGCACCTTTATTGTAAATTAGAAGTCACTCCAAAATGGTTAACTTTACAAACAGTCTAAAAACGTATGCTTTCCTTAAAAGCTATGTTGCTTCCGAAAAGTTTCCGAGGATACCTCAAGGTTATCTTAGGATTCGAACTATCAAAGTTTTTGAGTGCCTCCTCCAGCACGTTTTCCTAAATGGGTTGCCAGGATTTGTTAAGCTTGTTAAACCTAACTCGTATAGCGAGTTTCATTTTTCTGTTTGTAGTTTTTGTTGAGAAATTGAATAAATAATACTTTTTGAGACTGCTAGTTCTCACTTTTGGACTATAACGCATATGAATGTTGTATGGAAAATAAGATAATTTACTGCTCTTTGTAAAAAAGCAATTAGAGGTCAAGCCACCACCGCTACGTTGTTTATTTCTAATTTCAACGCTGTTTGCAAAGTGAAAGAAATCGTTAAGGAATGTCCCTTGTAAACAAAATACCTAACAGGAGTCCGGGCGTTTCTTTCTTTGATTAATAAAGAAAATACCGCAACCTTTCCGGGGTACTTTTTGGTGAATTGAACCCTGAATTTCCGCAAATATTGCGATAAAATATTTTGTGACTGAGATTGGCAAAGTATAGGGCGTTTCCTCATAAGTTGACACCCCCCCCCCCCAAAGTTTGTGAAAGTGACCAACACCAAAGTTGTTTTACTCAATTTTTTTAAAATCTGAATTTAAAATAAAAATATAAAACACGAATGAAAATCACATTTAGGAATGTTTTCCGGGCTATTATAGGAAGAGAACATAACGGAATTTATTACTAAATAAATAAAAACAAAATAATTTTGTATATGACCTCCGTTTAACGCTAGGCATGCTCTATAACCTACTTCAATTTTATCTATAACGTTTTGAATATATTGGTTATGATTAATATTAATTTTTTACAAACTGCTTGTTGGGTACTTTGCCTCAAAAATGTTTGTCTTTAAAAAATTAATATTAATATCGTTAATTGCATGCACTATTTTAAGGCGTCTAACTAGAGTTTCATACACAATATTCTTGAAATAACCCCAGAGAAAAGATTCAAGAGGCGGTAGGTCGAGGCTATTTGGAGGCCATTGGATAGGATCCGCTCGTCCAATCCAGATAGCAACATTTTCATTTTAAAAAGGTGCTACCGGGCGAACGTTATGGGGTCGCATTTCAAGGCTACTTCGATTTGTTGCTATTTATGATTTTTACCACGTAATATAGGAAAAACGGCTCATACAAATAGGGGCAAAATATATTTTTTTGAAATCAGGAACAAATCCTATTGGTATGTCTAAAAGTATATAGGGTGTTTTATTAAAAAATACAAATTTTGACATTTCCGTGTTTTATTTTTTTATTTTAAATTGAGATTTAAAAAATTGAGTAAAATTAAACATCTTTTGTGTTGGTCACGATCTAGGGAGGTGTCAACTTATGAGAAAACACCATGTACAGGGCGTAATTAAAGCCATGTAAGTATCTTATTGAAATTTAGTTAATTAAACTTTTGGTAAGAATTATTCGATTCTTGATAACCTAAAATCAAACAATTTCTCTAGACACACAGGTGGTTGCTCCTCAGCAGTTCTAATGGTGCCTCAAGAGGCTCGTTTTTAATATGTACAAGGAAAAAAGCAAGTGATGGTTGTACATTCTTTGCTACCTCAACTACCAGACTATATTTTCTTTTAAGCTTAATTTTGCAAACCAGGAGAAAAATGTGGGCGGCATTTTTATATTTTTCCCTGAGTGCTGAAGTGGTCAGCAGCGCCCCTGGGTACCTTAAACTGTAACACTGTCATCCGAGATCTCAGTTCTGTTTGCTTTTCAGTCAATATGATTTTTTGCAGCCTATTTTGCAAAACCAAAAATTCACAATCACTAATCAGACCCTTTTATTCCTAAAAGTTTTTCAGTTTTAAGACGATCACGTTCCTGGAGTTCGTTCGAAGAAAAATTCAGTTTTGATTATCAAACTATCATCAATAAAAGTTTTCTACAAGATTATTACATAAAACAGAAATAAGAACTTCAATAAATTGTGCATTTCCTTTCCTGCCAAATTCAATGCATAAATTGTAACATAATTTAGAATCGCACATGAAATTAAAGTGATTCTGTTTACATTAAAATAAACAAAGAGGTTTACAGTCGGAAAACAATTCAAACACTTAAATATGTCAAAATAACGCTTTGTATATAAATTCCACGTTTTAGCCTCGTTATGCCAATATGATTTAGTTTTTTCGTGTTTATATCAATATTAAAAATAACCTAATTTATATCGATACTTATATTTAAAGTAATTCGGTTATTTTATCCACCAAATACCTTCAATATTTTCAGAGTTAAGTCAAGGTTTTATAACGGTTGCTTAGATTATGAGATCCAGTAGCAGCTTATGTTTTTTAATTCGATTCATTAATATTTTATGGTAATTGTTTTCCTGAGCCAATATATTTTACATAAAATTGTGTTAAAATTTTCCAATTTAGCCGCATATAATGATTTTGCAGGCACATTTTATCTGATTGTTGTTTAATAATGGAAACACGCCTAATAAAGATTTGAATTAAGATATTGGTTTTTAGTTCAACACTTTAGTTTTGGTTTGAAACTTTGAAAATAAAATCTCTGTTTTCACTGAAAACAATTTGAATCAATCAGATTAATATTAAATTATTTCACTATTTTTAGTCACTTTGACTCACTGACTTTTGATGAGTAGACAAATTTCGATGGTGATTTAATATCAGTACTGTTGAAGTACACAGCTCAGTTTTATTAATATTAATATTATTGCATCCATTGATGCACGTTGCGTTATTCTTACAAGTTTTATTACCAGAATTATTACTTACCGAATGGTTTGTTGCACTATGCACTGATTTAAGGGAGTTCCCGAAAAATGCTGTTAGTCGCCAGCAATATATAAAGCTTAATACTTAGCTTTAACTTAAATGGTTTCTGATGTTATAACGGCAGTCTAATCTACGATAATTTAAACCACCTTGCTGCCGTTCGATGCCTGCCAAAATCGATTCGATACTATTCGAACAAACAATAAGTTTATGTTCATACTTATTTCATGCAAAATTATTCTTCAGTTTGTTCACATTGAAACTTTGCATGCTGGTTGAAAACCAGCCCTCGTATTATTTCAACAATGTTTAATATTGAAGTGTTTTACAAACACATTTTAATATGATATATATTATTAGTTAAATACTTCTTCGTTTAGCCAGGCCTAAGTTTTAGGCCATTTATGTTTGAATTCCGAATTCTCGTATATATTGTCGAGAACTGACGTAGAAGTAAATATGCGTGGTACAACGGAATTATGGAATTTCGTCTAACGAAACAACGGTGATTGACAAGACACGATTATTTATATATTAATGCAGTTTTTTTAAGTTACTGGCAATTATTATGATATGCGTTGAAAATGACAGTGAAAACTTTTTACAGCCAACTACGTTTATATTTTAAAATGTAATTATTTATTGTGCTATTTATATTATCACAATTTTTAGTTATGCATGTTTTTTTCTTTTTATTACCATGGTAGGTGATCCAGGAATGTATAATCCTTCAAATAGAGGTATTTTGGGTTCTACAATACCAAAAATCGAGAGCGGACTCGATCCAAGCAGGTCTAATTGGTTGCCACATATGCATTTGTCTCGTAAGAACTTTTCTTTAGTTTGTTTATTTTGTGTTCAATCACCTAGCTTCATCGAGTTGATCCTAATTTTTAAACTCAGGTCACCAAAGCCAAAATCAAGTAACGAGTACCGTTATTAGTAACCAGCAATCAGTTTCATCAGCGCAAGTTATGCATGGTACGCCAACCCATAGCAACTCTGGCCAGTTTTATGCTACCTCTCAAGCGACAGTAGGTTCGGATCGCTCTCAGGAGTCAATTTCACAAAATTTAGGTACGTAGATATAACCAACCGTCCAATTACATCCATACGACAATATCTAAATTACCACAAATTATTAATTGTAAATTGCAATTTTATTTTAGCGAACAATTCACCAGTGTCTCCGCATCTCCAGCAAAACGGCTTTAATGGGGCCAGTAATACGGTTTTAGCTGGTAGTGGATCGGCAAATACACAATCTGTTACAACGCTTCCTCAATCCTATACCGGTGCAGGTGGAACTTGGACTGGCTCTAATACCCTTACATATACTCAAAGCATGCAACCGCCTGATAATAGAAACCACCTTAATAATTATTGTGAGTTCGTTTTTCATTACTTTAATATGAAGACTTTTTAAATTATTGTGTTTTCAGGGAATCACACTGCGTCTAACCAAATAGGCAATGATGTAAACCTAGGTGGACTTCTTTCAGCTCAGCCCGCGCCGGAATATTGGTGCTCAGTGGCTTATTTCGAATTAGATACACAGGTTGGCGAGACATTTAAAGTGCCATCAAATTGTCCAAATGTTACAATAGATGGGTATGTTGATCCTTCTGGTGGGCACAGGTTTTGTTTAGGAGCTCTTAGTAATGTCCATCGAACTGATCAAAGTGAAAGAGCAAGGTTAGTATTTCAATGTATTCTTATTAGTGAATAGGTCTTTTAAAGCGCGTATTAATCGTCTAACGCAGAGACGAGCAATACGCGGTCCGCCAAGCATTTCTAAAATTGAATTTATTTTATCGACTTTCTCCCATCAATATATTGTTATAAAATTAATTATAATGAAATGGTAGTACACGGTTATTGATTGAACTTTGGCCACCCTGTTTTTGCATCTAATTTGAAATTTCGAGAAAAATGTTACATACAAAAGTTGTAGATAATGACATCTAATTTATTTTAGGATAAACCAATTGATACAGGGTGCCTCAAATTCAAGTAACAGACCAAACTTACCTTTTTTTAAATGAAATCTCGTACTTTTTATTGCATAATCGAGCAGCTATTCGTGAAATTCTAGGCCTATTCGATATAAATATTCTGTATTGATTTTCAACTGTTTTTGAGTTAATAACCAATATTGATTTAACTTAACGAACTCCCCATTAACCGGTGTATATCACCCAGCCGGACATTTTCGCACTCTGAACTAGTCACTTATGAAGGGATTTTGAAAATTTTATAATGTAAATGTAAACGAAAAATCGGTCAAGACAGCGACGTCAAAATGTTTTTTAGGCAATTATTTTGAAGACACCCTGTCAAAGAGTTTGACATTGTTAGGCGTTTTTGACATTCAAAAAGCAAAATGGAAATTTCGCTCCCATAAGAGCCCGTGTAAAGCGAAACATCTTTATAGCAAACAAACGGAGAGCTAGTGGCACCTGCTTTGGTACATTATCAATATGCTCCCGATAGATTAGATTGACATTCTAAAAGTGTGAGTTTTCCTAAAACTTTATTCTTGGTGGGACGTCATCGGGCCTATACTTGGGAGGAATTAAAAAAAAAGTTCAAGTGTAATGGATTGCTTATGTCAAAATTTGACCGAAATTTGACATCACAAAATTGGTGAAAATTTCGAAGATTTTAGGAAATCGTCAATTGCTCGCTTATTATCGATCGTAGTGAAAAAGTGAATACCAACTTTTTTATGAAGCTTTAGACGGCCGACCGACGGGATTGATTAGATTCAGTTGAGCTCTTTTGGTTATCGAGATATTTACATTTTTTCGGGGGGACTCAGGGATTTTCTCGAAAACTATGAAAGCTGGAAAGTTGAAAAAAAATACCATTGGATAGTGACTACCAAAGAATAACTTTTTCCGATAGAAAGCCTCGTTTTCGTGAAAAAAAATTTAAATGTAAAATTTCGGAAAAATCGCAAGGTTTCACTACAAACTTTTTTCCAACTATTCCTTGACAGGTGGTTAAATATGTGTGTAAAGGCGGTTATGGAGGGAAAATTTTCAAAATTGAATAAAATTGTCAAATTACATTAGAATTTGGTGAAATTGACACTAATTAGTATTGAGACAAATACAAATCAACTCCATGTCAAATCAATTCGGTAAAGTGGAAGAAAAAACCCTATTTAACTCCATGTAATCCATGTAAATTTTGGTACCGATCAACTGAAATGCTTCCCAAAAATCAGAAAATAATGATGAATCGATTCTAGTTAGACCGAAACATAGCTAATAGATATGGCTAATTATTTTTGAATGCCGTAATGAGAAACTATAAGTTTCCGATTTTGGCCAGACCAATGAATCGAAAAAATGTTTCAGCATTTTCGACTTGACCATGTTTCTATAGAAACAAAAATTTCGAAAAATTAAATCAATTATTCCAATGAGCTGGCGATGAGATAGGTCGATAGAGGGATAACGAAGCTTTAAAATTCAATTAAAGCCATTGCAACAGGATAAAAGGTTGATCTTGACAATCCGAGTTAAAATTGGAAATCGATTTTAAGTATTAAAAATTAACCTTAAGTTTCGCATTGGATATTGTCAAATATACGGTGATTCACAACCTTATGGACACATAGCAGGGGTGTGTAGAGAACCTCAAAACAAGTCGAGTTTCCTTTTAATTTTGCAGTCGTGAAGTCTTTCACTTGAATAAAAAATATTGTTCGATCCGAGGGCGAAATCTACCATTTCTTTAAAAAGTTACTCGAGAATGAATTGAAATGGAAAAAAATCAAATTAATTCTTTTATTTTCCGTGGAAATTGTAACCCAATTATGGTAAAAACACGCAGACATTTGAGTAACATGTTTCTCGAATAACAACCAATCAATAAAAGAAAGTTTGTACGATTACAAAATATTCTAATTAACTCCCGGTCGTTTTTACATTTCTTCTCCAATAAAAAGACATCTCAAAGACTAATTCGGGAAAAAGTCACTTCAAAATTCTTGTTTTGTTTAATTTTTACTAGAACGAAAGTACGTTTCTTAACGTGTAGATAAATAATTACGATACAGTTACCATTAAAAAGTGCCTCGCAAATTTTTGCATTTCAACTTTTTATTGATATTTCGTTGTTTTATCTTAATATGTAGATTACATATTGGTAAAGGCGTTCAACTCGACCTAAGAGGAGAAGGCGATGTATGGTTGCGGTGTCTAAGCGATCACTCCGTTTTCGTTCAAAGTTATTATTTAGACAGAGAAGCTGGAAGACAACCAGGAGACGCAGTGCATAAAATTTATCCATTGGCATATATTAAGGTAGGCTGGCCATAATTAATTTACATATATGTTCGTATTTTAAACTTTGTTTCTTTTTACTAAAACAAATACATTAATTTGTTACTGAGCAAAATCATGTAAATGCGTTTACGTTTTAAGTATTTGTTTGAAAACCATGTAACATTGTCTATAACATACATTAGTAATACTGATGGTGGTGCCCACAAAAGCTCGAGAGAGCTTATCCGGTGCCAAATTTTTACAATTATTCTTTCTACAAAGAGATATCCGCAAGAGCCAAATTTAACATTTAAATTGTTTGGTTAATTTTTTAGTATCCCAGTTGATTATGAGTCACCGTTGTTGAATATGATAGTTGCTAATACAGAAATCAATTTTGGTGATGCTGCATTTTCCCGGAATTTTAAAATTTAGGTGACAAAGGAAAGATTGCATATTTTTGTTCGTTGTAAAGGGTATTTTTAACCCTTTCGCTAATCGTGGCTTTATCAACTGAGCGGTCCGCGGCACCCTAAATGTACGCTCCGCGCAATCGATAGCCAAAAGTCGGCGCTCATCCTCAACTACAGCCCGAGCTATTTCAATTATGTTTTGAATTTCTCAGAACCGTTTCTTCAAAGCAAAAGAAAAACCTCAGCTAGTGACTTGAGTCATGGTGGTAGCATAAAAAAAGCAAAAAAATGTCATTGCTTTTTTGTTTTAAGATTGTTTTAAACGAACGGTTCGGAACGTACGTTTAAATCGTGTAAGAACGAAGTGTGCTGTTGCCTATACATACTTATACAATTTTTATTGTTTTATTATTATGTGATTTTGGAATAGCACGGCAAAACGTACACACTCTACATGTTTTAACCGCGCGAATCAGTGGCGGTGGCAGCTAATAAATACCAAAAACTCAATTCACTAATCTTCTTGTCTCTCTAACTCTAGTTGTCTTAGAAATACAACAATGTTAATAAGATAAAATCGGGATTTATGTTCACAATAAATAAATTGTTTCAGGTTTTTGACTTAAGACAGTGTCATCATCAAATGACCACTCAGGCTCAAACAGCACAGGCTGCAGCTGCCGCACAAGCCGCTGCAGTTGCTGGTCACATTCCTGGTCCTCACTCTGTCGGGGGAATCGCTCCAGCAATAAGTATGTTAATTGTATGATTCCGGTTTTTTTTTTAAATACAGGCTTTCTGCTTTAGGTTTATCGGCCGCCACTGGAATCGGAGTGGATGATTTAAGAAGACTTTGCATTTTAAGACTCAGTTTTGTTAAAGGCTGGGGTCCAGACTATCCTAGACAATCTATTAAAGAAACTCCGTGTTGGATTGAGGTGCACTTGCACAGGGCTCTTCAACTTTTAGATGAAGTTTTACATACTATGCCTATAGATGGTCCCAGGGGCATAGAATAAGCAGGTATATTTTACTGCATCCAATTATTACTTATTCAGCGGATAAGAGCGACTTATTGATGGAATTCATATGTTGTGTACTGTTCAATGGCAATGTAAGGAAGTTTTTCCACTGGAGCTATGCTAGAAGAATATTAAGTAAATTCGCATTTAATTACGTTTTCCAAAAAAATAGGGATAGTGAGTTTTTGGCGGACAAATTGCATATTTTTTTGGTAATGATGAGACCGTTTAAGTTCCCTTCACCAGCAATTGATTCAGTGGTCCATGGAACGATGGAGAATTGAAAAACAATAAGAGTTTGCATCAAGCTCGATTAGAGAAATGCGAAAAATAAAATTTCTTAATTGTTGCCGAACCGCTGTGAATATTTACATATTTTTTTTGATTTGTCCGTGGCATCCGTAGCAATTATTTTTAATTACCAACACATTTTTACCAATTATTTTTATTTTTTACTTGCAAATGCCGAGTTGTACATAAAAATTGACAGAACAGTTTTCTTGAATACTGAATGGGAGTGATTTTTATTCTATAAAAAAGCAGTGATTAAAATTATTGTAAAATGTGCTCCCTCGTTGGTAGTTCCAGTATTTGCGCGCTGCAGGCAAATTCGTTTAAATATCCACAGCCGTTTGGCAACAATTAGTATATTTGATTTTCTGAGGCCACACATAAACGCCCCTATAATTCCTTAACCAAGTCTTTCTCGAATATAGTTTATAATGCACGGTTTTATTGTTTTTCCGATCGTTCGCTGAAGTTTTCGCTCTTGAAACTGAACTACCAATATATTCAATAATGTTAACAGTTATTAAATATTTACTATTTTATAATTTATTTTAGTAATACATAAATTTTAGATACAAAACAAAATTGCAAAAAGTCGCTCCATCCAGTGTAGTCAGAGTAAATACTTTAGGCGGTTGTTAGTAAACTACCTTTCAAATTAGGCCGAAACATTTTTCGTGTGAAAGACAAGAACAAGACATTTAGAAGAAGCTATAAAATAAGGTTCACCCATGGAGGGAAGTCACTAAGTCAGACTTGTGAATAATGATATGCAGTTGATTTAAAATGTTTTACTCGACATTTGAATATTTTGAATACATATACGGAATTTTATTAGTGCATATGCATATGTACCAAAAACCCATTCATTTTATCTTTTAAAACGCTTTTTCAAAAAAGTAATTTCTATAGTATATATAAGTATGAAAAACGTGTTAGTGTGCGCGGTCTGCGTCAATGAAAAAGCTTAAAAATCAACAAATGAAACAAGTAAGCTTAAAGTTCGAAAATTTTATGTTTATTTTCATAGTTTATTGGCCAAGGTGAATAATAGTGGTAGCCGGTAATTTGTGCCATTTTAATTTTAATCAAATAAGCCAAACTACATTTGCCTATGGTTTCAGAGAATATAACAATTAGCCTGTGATAAAACTACTGTTTAAGAATTGTATTTCTGTAGTGCGAAATAATACATTACGAATTAAGTCGAGCATTCACATTAGTTAAACTAACTTTTGATTGCGTCAACAACAAAAAGATATTTGTTCGTCCGGAAAAGTCATTATTATACAATAGGTGTTATCAATCGCATACGTAATAGTTTATAAACATGACACCCAAACAGTTCGGAAAAACGAATAAATACATTTATCTATAGAATGATAGCTCTTCTTATAAATTTTTTAACTATTAGTACGTTCAAGTGACATAATTGTATAGCCACTTATGAATATAAGTTGCTTTATGCTCGACTGATTTAAATTGTAATTAAGATTATGAATACATTTAATATTTTGTTTTAAGAATATCGGACTACCGAATGATTATATTAAGGACTAGTTATAAGCAGTCAGATTCGCTAAAAGAAACTTGAGAACTGTCATAAAGTTTCAGTTTTGGATGTTTTAAAATGGTCTAAGTCTAGATCGGAGCTCTCCAATTGCAAGTGCCCCAAAAGCCGCTTAAAAACTGAGATTTGGAGGCTTGCAATATAAAAGACTTCGTATGAAGATTCTTTATATTTTACCGTTAATGTAAGAATTGTTCATATTTGGTATTTGAGGGTATTTAATACATTTATATTCCTGGAGTCGCAAAAATTGAGATCGCGGCTCTCATGTTGGACAGCCCTCATACCGTACATAAGTGCTGTAACTAAGCTATTTGTCATAGTACTTTTTATCAAATTGCTTGATCTCTCAACCGTTTTACTATGCTTGTCCCCAAAATGTGTTAGGACTCAGATTGCCGTTTTTATTGAATTTTTATTGTAAAATTTGTTTTGTTCTAATTGGTCCTGTATGTTCGTTAAAGACTCCAAATCGTAGGTGTTTATAGTAGTTATTTTAGAATAACGGATATAATTTTATACGCATAGTTTGTACAAATTTGTCAGTTTTTAGACCTAGAGTGAAGAGTGAAGGATAAAAGACACGATGAGTTATTTTAAATGTCATCTAGATTCATTGATAACATAAAACCTGATGCATGCTTGATAACCGTTGGTAATTTTTATAAAATGTATCTGGACGCGCTCATGTCCTAAGATCGGTAAAAAATACATTTATTAAATATTTTTTAATATATCGCAATTATGAGCTGCGTCTATATATCACGATAGGGGCGTATTAAAGTATATTCAAATATTTCAATCAATTTCAGTTAGTATTTCTTTGAATTATATAATTTTAGGAAAGGTGATATTATCATTCTGTCTCTATTAAATTTTGAATTTATTGTTCTAAATAGACGGATCACGTCGGACCAAGGAATTGTTTTGATCGAAATCATTAGCACGGGTACAATATTATTAATTCAAGGAGAAAATACCAACTATTTTGCAGAAAATTTAATGTTTTTTTAAGTTTCTGTAAAGGTCGTTCTTATTTCCATATTCTCTCAAAGATCAGAATTTTGTTTTAAACCGATTCCTAACAAGTTAAGAAATTAATAAAGATGTTTCTTAGGCAACTAGGATTTTAGAAATAGTTGTGTAACTGTAGATATCGTCTACAGCTTTATTAGTCTAGTATGTCATTGTGTTTTAGGCAGAAAACTGAATCGAAAGTTGTTGTTAAAAGTCTCCTCTCCACAATCACTTTCGTTTAAATTTAAATACTCATCGTGTATGGCCTCAAAAAAAAGTTGAAAATATTTTATAATCCAATTATTGATTAGTTATATAAACGCATTTAACAGTCAAAAGTTGAAAAAATACAATTCTTCCTAAAATATACGTAGTTTCACTTAGCATTCACCTTTATTGTTATAAGTACAGGTGTTACTGGTACAAAAACTAGTTGCTAGAATGTATTAGTAAACATTATTTTTTTCAATGAAGGTTGCCTTCATGGGACAATTTTGTCACAAATAGTGTTTGATGAAAATGCTTAATTCGAAGCCATTCAGTGTGTTTCTGAATGCAGTTTGTGCTGTGTCAATCATTTTTGTAGCCATGTGGTTCTGTTTTATATATCGTAAACTAAACTGCATCTTGTTTGGTAATACATGTAAGCAGCAGTTTATGGCTGGTTTATTTCGCAATTTTAAAATTCCTAGAAGTGGGTGTTTGCGTGCTACATCAGAAAGCTGTAAATATATTCAATATTTTTTATTGAATTTAATAATTGAGTTTTGGATTTCACATTATTTCTTATATCAATAGAATTTAAATAAGTTATGCATTTAAACGACTCCACAAGCTAATCCTATCAGAATTACGTAATCAGCTGTGAACATTACTTAGCTTTGCCCTGGGCAGCTACAGCTTCCATGGCTTTCTTTACGGTTTCAGGATCTCCCAAAAATTCCAAGCTCTTAATAGGTTTTAGATTCTCATCCAAAGTGTACACAAATGGAATTCCAGTTGGCAAATTCAGCTGCATGATTTGCTCGTCAGATAATTCTATAAATTAACAAATACTTTGGTTTATAAAATGCATATTTACATAGAACGTACCATCTAAATGCTTGACAATTCCTCTTAAGCTGTTTCCATGGGCAGCAATCAGGATTCTCTTTCCAGATTTAATTAGTGGTACAATCGTGTCATTCCAGAAAGGCAGTGTTCTTTCAATGGTCAGCTTCAAGCTTTCAAACTTAGGAAATTCATCGCCGACAGGACCTTCAGCGTATCTGGGATCATTGACAATGGCGTCATAATATGGATGGTTGGCTTCCATTGGTGGTGGAGGAATGTCAAAACTTCTACGCCAAATTGCCACTTGCTCATCTCCATATTTAGCTGCTGTTTCTGCCTTATTCAGGCCAGTAAGACCACCATAATGTCTTTCATTTAGCCTCCATGTTTTTATTACAGGCAAGTCAGTTTGACCAGTTTCCTTGAGAATAGCTTGAAGAGTATCTTGTGCTCTGGTTAATACAGATGTGTATGCGACATCAAATTTATAACCAGCATTTTTCAGAGCAACTCCAGCGTTGGCTGCTTCTTGTCTGCCTGAATCAAATAGATTTTGTTAGTAGTTTCTTATAGTTAACTGGGATTTACCTAAGCAGATTTCGGTTAGGAAAGGCATTGAATATACTTGGTTATATAGTTGTGTTCAAAACTTTTTAAACTGGAATGTACTTAATAACTTGTGCTGTGATCATAATCAAAATATCACAAATATCATAAATTGGATTTTATCTTCGATCAATAAGGCTTTACGTAATCTGTGGTATTTCTTTCATGTTAAGTCCCTTTTTATGCAAGATCTGTTCGTATTCCTCCCGAAACTTAACAGTATAAATAGGGACTTAATATGAAATCTAATTCATACTATAAATTAAATAGAAAATAACATTAAATAACAGTTCAGCTAATCAAAAGATATTATTTGAACTAAGATTCAAGTTTATCTTGGAAAGTCCCGAAAATTCCCGTAAAAAATTGGGAACAATTGTAGCTTTTTTCGAATTCCAATTCAGTACATTTTTAAAATAGATTATTTCCAGTAGAATTATATTTGTGCTGGTTTTGGACGCGGTTTGTGTGCGGTTTTGGCTGGACCTTAAGGGTTTCGGTCGCTCTCCAGTTTAGGTACTCAGGTAATGTATAAATAGGGCAAAAATGTGCAATAAGGGATAGAACTACATTCAAATCCCTTCAAAACAACAGCAAGGTCGAATAAAGGTCATACATATTCTTACCTTTTTCGCTCAGATCCGCATTATACCAGCCACAGAACAGGTTTTTCTGATTCCATTCAGATTCACCATGTCGGACTAACACAATTTTATAAGGTGCCATTATTAAACTTTTACAGAATTTGAGTTTAAAATATTTAATACTTTTTTGGCAAACGAGCGAAGACGACCGCAAATCTCACTAGGTAAAGCCGAATACAGACTTGAAGCGATGCGAACGACACATGCTGAATCACGCAAAAAAAAACGCGCGCAACATTCGCAGCAGAATGCTTCAAATCTTGTTTTTACTATAATTGGATTTTTTAAAATGTGTTTACCAATAGCTGGTAAGTTTATGTAACATGGTATCATCGAAGATTTTCAATATTTGTTCTGTATTAAGTTGATGCAAAATGCTGCTAATTGCTCATCATTTTTTGGCAACGTTCGTTTCGGAATTATTCATCCTCAAAATAGTTTGTAGATGAATAATAGCCAACCAATTATATAGGTTTAGGCGATCTTGCGGTTTGTATTATTTACATTATAGAAATAAATTCTAAATATAAAAATAATCTGTGTTTCAATGTATGTAATAAACATGTGTTTTTTCCAACGTTTATGTGGTTTTATTTCCGTCAACATTATCAAAAAAATTGCTATATGAACCGTACGAATACGATTTTGCCAAATACATTTAGATGCGATCCGCTATAAACAATTTTTCGTTCAGAATCATATATTTAAATCCCGACACGTTTCAGTTACATTTAGGAATGTTTTCCGGGCTTTGAAGCCGTGGTCTATCGGAATTTCTTCCTGACGTTTCGTCCACAACTGCGGTGGACATTTTCAAAGGCGATGAGGAAGTGGGCGAAGTGATCTCCCGTGTTTTCCGACTAAGACTGACGTTTCAGTTATATGAAGTACTCGCAGTTATATGTTCTATAAATATTTATGTAACTGGAAATGCCTGACCACAGAAACGTAGCTGAAACGTTGCCATAAGCGATACTTCAACGAAAAAGTGCGCAAGTTGAAGAGTGCAAATATTTGAATTGATGGCCCTAGAACTGTCAGGTAAATTTTATTGTTGAACAAAAAATTTCACCACATTCCCCCTGATCTTCGGGGGATATTTTTTTATTATTTATTATAATATTTTTAACTAAATTGTTTCGAAATGTTTTAAATGTACAATTCCAAGGTCGAGCAGTTGATTTGATGAAATTTATTTTATTCATTCTTACTGGCTTTACTAGTACTACTAGTAAATCTAGTAAAATTCCAGTGTATAAATTTTTTGGCCCTATGGCTTCGGCTGCGCAGGCTTCCGCGTCAGGGTTACTCTGTGTGACCTGTAACTCCGACATGTATAAAATTTTTGAAAATGTAGAATGGTCCGTAATCGGCCCGCACCAACAAACCCACCCACACAACAAACTCAAACCGCTTTAAATTTCTCGAAAAAACTCCGAAAGTCGTGCGCGCCTGCTTTTCTGTACGGGGCTTAATACATTGAACTGTCATTTAACTGTTTCTACTGTTTGTCGCTCATTCTGGCGGTTGCGAGCACAACTGGGTCTCGAATATGTTGTTTGTAGGGGAAATCTATTCGATCGATACACACTGAAAATGTTTTTATCGAACCAATAACTAGCGGGAGATTTAAATTCAATTTGGAATTTGTTACTCTATTCGAAACGTAATTCCAAGAGCGTAACAAAGATTCCATAATGCCATTTATTTCTGTGGTTAATTGAACTTCCATTGTGGATGGAACTACTAGCAGAATAATATTTATTATAAAATGATTCAACAGCAAGTATTCATGTCTGCTAAGCAAACAACATTATTAATGGATTGATGAAAATTTTGAAATATTATTGAAACTGATCGACCTAATAACCAATAGAACTAGATAACAACCATGAATGATTCTTACCCGGGTATGAAATTTATTCTTGAACTTTGACAAATGCCTACCCGATTTGGATTAAATTGTGTACACTGAGGGATGAAATTATACCCGATTTAACGGTGTGTCCCATTGTTGTCGAGTGTACAATTTCCCTGAAATTCACAGACATCCTTTTCTTTCATGGAGTATCATAAATTTTATGCAATTTTCGAATTCCGAGTTTCATTTTTTTTTATTTCAAGTTTGGGAATATTTCCAAGAAACTAAATGGGAAATAGATAAAGCAAAGAAACTCCCCGTATCCTCATAAATCGGGTTTCAATGAATCTTAATTAATTCTTTCTGGATTACTAGTTCTAGTGAAAAGTATAAAGGATACAACAGAGTTTGCACAATTTTCCAAATATCCTTTTAATACTAATCTTAACCATTTTGCACACATATTTATGATAAATGATTTGGTCGAAACAGATATACATTCTGTTCAGCTCGTAGCCCGGACTTTAACATATTGGATTAATTTTCAATAGTATACCAATACCTATAGGAAAAATAATAAAAAAAAATGTAAAAATAATTTTTCCTATAAGGGAATAAGGGATTTATTGGCTTACCGAAATACCCTGCTTGGAAAATAATAATCAAGAATAAACAATTTCTATCTTATATTGCCCGGAATTTGATGACATAGAAGTGTAAAATCCTGAAATTTTGTTGTTTCAAAAGAATAAAATGTTTCATAAAAATGAACGTTTTATTCTTAAATTGTTCGATTCTATCGGCCAATAAATTACAGGATCGAGCAATTTGCGCCCTATCTTTGTGTAATAACCCGGTACAAATATTGCCATCTGGCTAGTCAGAAAACTGTTCGAATCGTGGATCTCAATAAAAAAAAAACAATTGTATACCACTTGAATATGAATATTGATTATATAATACGAACGCAGGCCTATTTTTACTTTGCAGAGTTCTGTAAATTTTATATTCCGATTTTCTGTTGCCTCTGGTTAGAGGACTCAAAGCGCTCGTGGTCAGAACATAAAATTTATTATCCAGAGTGCCCAGTAAGCACATGATCAAAAGAGCATTCAGACGTTCTTCAGTTCAATTGAAGACTATATGACCTAACTTTTATTAAGAAAAAATATTCGGCTCCTCTGCTACTGATTTTTAAAGCTATTAAAAAAATACCTATTTTGAAATACCGGAAGCATGGTCAAAGATTTTACAAATAGGACAAAAATGTCAAAACTCAAAAAAAATCAGTTGATTTTTTTTGTTTTTGTACCCAGACAGAGACACTTCACAGCGAGTTTTATTAAAATCCATCGTACCATTCTCCCGATTTTTCATGAAAAATATATTTTTTAAGGAACTTTGACCATCAATGGCAAAGCAGCCAGACAATTTTTCTCAGCAAAAGCTCGTAAAATTCAGATCGTCTTCCTTTCGTCCAAAGCATATCGCGGTACCCTTTTGATCATGTGCTTACGGGACACCCTGTAGAATTCATTTTGCTGTAACGATTAAACTATTGTAAGAACGTTTAAGATCAATATCTTCCATTAGTTGTGTTGAAATAGATAAATAGATAAGTTGAAGGTCAATTAAATTATAGTTCATTTACCTCGAATAAACAGCAATAAAAGTGATGTGCTTAATCAGAAAATCGGTATCTGTTAAATAGAGCCTGTAAGTCATTTGACTGAAGAAATTTAAGGCATATAGGAGCGAATTTAATTTTAATAAACTATAATCGATCCTCTTTCATCGATAGTTGAGACTGAAATCATTTAAATATCCACAATTATTACTTCGAGTAGTTAGTTATTAAGAAAGAACTAGATAATATTCCCATTTTCAAATAAAAATATTTAAAAAAGTAATATTGACCTCCATATATCACTTAAAAAAGTGAATATTGGTAAAATAAAGAAAGTGTATAATGAAATATGAATTGGAAGCATTAATGCTTCTAAGTTGTAAGAACAAACTTTTATGGACAAATAGAACTAAATTAAAAAGAGACCTGGTGTACTAAAAAAATGGACGTTATCAAAGTCAGACATAAATAGCACAAGTAAAAAGATCGTTAATGAAGAAATACAAATAAAAAAATTAAGTTTTTTTTAGCATAGCACTCAAAATATTTTGCGCACATTAATTTTTACTAATGATTCTTATTTTTTAATTGCAAACGTTAACGCCTGGCCTCTTTGTTAGTTGCATCAGTAAGTTAATGTAGCAGTAAACCAGAAAAACTTATATCTTTTATTTTTTATTTCCCGGTGAAAACAGATAATGAACTTAACAATCCCGCATACACTTTGTCGACTAATTTTAATTAATTTACGCAAACAACGCACATAGTACAAGGCAAATGCGGACTTTGCGCTTTTTTGCCGTTCCAATTAACACCGCTAAAACTGTATCTATTGAAACTTTTTTGGTCAGGTGCTTTTCATGTTTTAAACATCTTTTGCCAGGCAGCGGTTTCAATTAAAATATTGATATTTTTGTATATTACTGTTGGCAATATCAACAACCACGAATTAATTTAAGTCAGGCGGAAGATTGACTATTCATTTTTTAGGGGATAATATTTTTAACTGCTAATAATCCTAATAGACTAAATACTTTCATCAGTTCTACACCGTAGGAAGTATTAATTAAAATCTTAAATAGAATCAAAATACGAAAATAACGGATTAATTAAATGAAAGGAAACAGTACAATTTTCCCACGATGTCACAATGTGGGAGAAGAATATTAAATCGAAATGTTCCCCTCTTACCTTTATGGAACGCGAATTCTCAATGGAGTGCAGGTAATTTGAATAACTTATGGAAAATTGGATTTTCCTTCAATAAGACAACTCCATCTATCATATTTAGGGATACGAATCCGCCTTAAGTGGCTTAGGATTATTTTAGACTAAAGGGATAATGAAAATGCCTTAATAAACTGAATAAATTAGTATATTATTCAACCTCAAAAAAGCATTATCGCTATTATTGCTAATAACATTTTAACCTCTCCCCTTAGTAGAAGCAGAAGTAGCTTGAATATAACAGTGGATTGGTTTGCATTTACGTTACATCGTTATATGGTTACATCAGCGCAAGTGGCTGGCGTCTTCAGAGCTGATATCCAGAGCATGATTGTATTTTCTCTTAAATTCTATTGCCGAATAGCATATTTGATGACTTGAAAAAAAATACAGGGCTTTTATAATCTTTTAAAATTTTCTTTTGCGTAAATTTTGGTTTCATTCCATAATTTAAATATAAACAAATTTGATTTCTAGAATTTAATGAAGTAGCAGTTGACATCCTGCCCCATCCATCC